TCCCCCCTCAATTAGTACTCCCCCCTTAAATAGTACTCCCCTTTGGAGGAGGGTTGAAAAATAGTACTCCCGGGAGTACTATTTTAGGAAATACGGTAATCTACACTATATATTTAATTAAAGTCCCATAATAATTTTTAATTTTTTTTAATCCCAACAATTTATTAATTGCAATTATACCAAATAAAAATAGAAAAAAATTAATGTGATTATTAAATACAGTCAACAATTGTTTGATAAAATTCCAAATTTTTTTCAAAAAAATATTTTGATCAGACAAATTATAAGGAAGCAAACAATTTGACTGTATATAAAAATTCTTAAGTGAGGATTCTTACAATTTATCCAATTTAAAATAGTACAATTTTTATGTATTTATTATTTTAATATGTATTTAATTTAGTTAAAGATAAGTAATATTTTTTAATCATTTTTACCCCAATTTTTATTTAAAATATATAAAAATTCCTATTAATATTTTACAAATTTAATTTTTTTAATTAACACAATTTATCGATATTTAGTCATATAAATAAATGAATCTTTTTAATATTTTTGGTTGAAATTTAGAATTTTTTGCCAAAAGGCATTAGAACTTGGCCTTCAAAAGGGCCCAATGAACGGAAAAAAAATGTTATTTCCATAGGACATAAAAATTTGCTAGACATCAAATAATCTGCGCCGAATTATTTCACTTACCCCATAAAACCTAAACCTTTCAGATTCAAGTTTTTAATCAAAACTTGAAGTTAAAAAGCATAGGTTTTACATATAAGGGAAACGGTTGAAGACAATTCGGTTGCAAAAAATTGTTATTAAAAAATTTCAATTTTGAATTAAAAACAAAGCAAAAACAATTGAAGGCAACAGATTATTTGGCGCTAATTTTTTATTCCCATAACTTTTGACTTTGGTAGGATTTATCCTTTAATAAATAATTTATATAATCGTTAGCCTTCAAATGCTATAAGATTTGTTGTTAAAGTTGTTATGGCTGAAGAAATAACTTTGGCACTGTGTTGTTAACGCAAAATTGTCTTTTCAATCCAAAAGGTTTAGGTTTATGTGAACATTTCAGCGCTGCCTTGTAGACGCCGACTATTTTTGGTTTATAAATCCGTTCACGTGAAATTTATTTTAATTATGAAATAATATGTTTATTCAATCAAAATACATATTCTCAATATTTTTAAAAAATTAATTAAAGAATAACCGGATCTCTTTTCTTTATCACATTTTTATTTTAATATTCATTATTTTCGTCTTCCTCTATTTCTTTATTTAATTGTTGAATAGAAGGTACTTGCATTTTTTCAATTCTTTTATGTAAATCATTCAACTTTTGATGATTATCCAAAATTTGAGCATCCAACTCTTTTAACTAATTTTTAAAAAAATAATTTAATTACTCGCTAATTATAAAAAGTGAAAATAAAAGAAAAGTTAAACTTAAAATTATAAGTAGTTAAAATTACCCCTAAGATAATTTTTCTTTCGTTTATTCCTTTTCTAAAAATTTATTTTTAACTAAAAGTTTTCTCTTAATTTTTTACTTTAATAAACATTTACATGACTTCCCATATCTTCTAACCGAGCATTTATTACCCCAATATGATCAGTTAATTGGTTAATATGTTCCCTTCGTTGGCCTACTTCCTGCAAATTATCCTTTAAACTTTTTAATTTAAATTTTTATAAATTTGTTTTCTTGCCTTTATTGTTTGATCTAGCCTTTCACGCGTTGAGTCTATTCTTTGAATAAACTGAAAAAAAATTTTTAAGGGTATAATCCCTGGACATAATCTCTGGACTTAGACATACATTTTTATCATTTATTACCAATATCCCTTATGGAATAAAATAATTCTCGAAGTGAGTTTAATGGAATTATAAAGCATTTTTAGGACTCCTTAGGAACCAAACTAGTCGATAAACAATTTTTAAATTTATTTTATTTTTAATATTTTTATTTTAATTGCTAAGAAAAAATAATTTCGTCGACTTTTTTACCGGAGAGGAAATTTTTAAAATTTTATAAAATACTCTATCAAGCATTAAGTATTAACAACAAAATATATTTAAATATTTCAAAAACTCACAACTTCCATACAAACTTTTCTTCTACTTTCTAATAACCCACAAATTAATCCATTACTTGTATAAATTCTTGCACATTCATTAAAAGTTAAAAAATTTAAAATTTCGTTAATTATTTCTGTCGGGAAAAGTTGTCGTCTTTTTAAACGTTGAAATTCTTCTTCTGTTAAAATTTCATCTTCTTCTTCTGATTTTTCAGAATTTTTATTTTCTTTTGTTTTTAATTCAAAATCAGAATTTATTTTTAAATTTAAATTTTCCTTTTCTTCTTCTTCTTTAATATTCTGATTTGTTTCTTCTTTTTTATTTTCATAACGTGGAAATATTTTTACAGCAATTGGAAAACCTTAAATTTTTTAATTTTTAAATTAATTAAATTAATAAAAAATATTTTTACGGAATTTTTTTCTTAAATTGTTATATGAAAAAACAGAAAAACCTGATTTTTTTCGTTTAGAATACCGGGGTATAATAAATAAAAAAATTCTGAAAATTGTTTTTTTGAAAAGCGTTTAAACAATAGCTTAAACCCAGTACTGAAATTCATTAAACTAAAATTTTGTTCCCAGATATTGTGTGCCCTCAAATAAATATTTTTATTTTCGTTATTTTTGAGGTTTATTGATAATTTTAAAAACAATATTGAAAAATTTTGAAATTTTGTGAGGGTCCAGCGAATCTTAGATTAACTTGAAATAAATAAATTTAAAGTTAATTAAAATAAATATTTATTTAACACCTTTTTCATTTTGAGGCTTATCAGAAATAGAAGATTCACAATAACTCTTTAATTCATTCAAAAGCCGAAGGGATTGCATTTTTTAAATTTTTTTTAAAACTAAAAAACAAAAAAAATATTTTTAAATGTTTCTTTAAATGTTGATTTTTATTTAATTTTTCTAAATAAATATATGTACATATTTGTCTCTATTTTTATCTTTAATTAGTAAAATATAACAATTTTATAAAGGGAAATAAATAAACAATTTATTTTAGTCTCTAATCAGTTATAAAAATACTTACAATTTTTAAATATTCTTTACTTTACTAAATTAAAAATAAACAATAAAATTTTAGTTTGAAAATAAAGCGACTCCATAATCAGTGATCCCTTCAATTCTTAGAGATCTGTAACTCTCTTTCCTTAGTCTATATGAGTTTTTTACGAATAACATCACAATCACAATGATTACATTTTAATCTCTAATTCTATTTCTCTCAAGATTATTAATACATACAAGAAAGCTTAATAATTATAAAAAATTTTCTAAAAATAATTCCAAAATGATAAAATATACGGAACCTAGCCGTTCTGATTGCCATTTCCTAAAATCGAGAATTTGTTTTTTATGTCGCCAGGATCCCTTATATATGCATAATCTAAACAATTATTTAATTTAGAATATTTAATTAAATATATATTTGTATAAAATAATATTTTTTATTAAAAAAGAAGTATTTGAACAAATGACGGATAACACAAAATATAAAATAAAAAAAGAAGGTAAATAAATTTGTGGATATAGTAGAAAGAAGAAGCTTTAACTAAAAACAAAAAAAAAGAGAGAGGAGAGGATATTAGAATTACTGGGCCAGTTTGTCTACATATTGATAAAGAGTTGGGGGGATTTATATGAAAGAGAGAGAGAGTGGGAGATAAAATATTTTTTTGTGTTTATTTAGGTGGATATAAATAAATATATCTAGATTTTTTCTCTTTTTTTTCTAGGCTAATCATCTAAAAAGATTTTAAAAGAAAAACAGAGCTTTGCTATTTGTCTCCAACTTTATTTTTCTTTAACACAAAACAAAAAGAAATATATTTTTACCCAAGGGAGATATAAAAAATTTGGATATTGAATTGTGAAATGTTGAGAGTTTGGGGAAATGGCTTTCCTTAAAATCCATATATATTTAATTGTTTAATTTTGAAATTTGAAATTGATTTTTTGATTTTTAAAAATAAAAGTTTTAAAATATTGAAAGGTATAATTAACTTATGATTTTTGTCAGCCCGCACTAAAATTCTAACAAATAAAAAAGCATTTGTTTGTTCTTAAAAACAATCAAAGAGGCAAATAAGAAAACGTGTTGTCCTCGCCTGTCAGGCTTTGATTGCAGCTGATCAATCGAAAAAAAATGGAAAAAAGGAGATTTAAGTAAATCTTTAAAAAAAGAGAAAAATACTTTTGAACGAAATTTAATGATATTATATCTCAGGATCCATCTATATTTAAAAAATTTGAATTTATCTGAAGGTTAGATGAAAATTAGGAATTGTTTTTTTAATTTTATATTCATAAAATGTTTATTTTGATAGGTTGGATTTTTGGATTTTTCGAACAGGGCCGACGTTCTAGTTATTTTTTCGTGCCTCGTTTTTATCTAACGGGCCGTTCGAGTCTTTTTCGGGCCAGAATTCGAGGCTCGGTTCGATCTTTTGAAACGAACCGGGCCCCAACCCTGTTTAAAACTAATGTGGAAGGAAAAAAAGATTCTCTTTAATTATGGATAAAAATTCCTATCTTTGACAGTATTTTTCGAATTCCCATATATTTTTTCTTACTATAATTAAATAGTAAAAAATCAGAATATTTTGTAAATTTTTTTTATTATTTTCAAATTAATTTATAAATTCCAATTAAAAAAACATTTATTTTATTAATATTAAAGAATTATAGTAAAGAGTAAAAATTGCAGTAAAATACTAAAAAATATTTGGTATATAATATTAAATTGAGATCAAATGTCAACAATATATAAGTATAATTATTATTATTTATTTTGGATATTTGGGAAAAAATATAAGAAAAAAGGAAGAAAGATATGTGTGTATTTTTTGATTAATTTTAAATAATTAAAAGAATGATTAGAAACAAATATATAAATTTGGTTAAATGTTAAAAGTAAATAAAGTTAACTCAGTTATTGAAACATTGGCAACAATGTTTTGAAGGAAAAAAGGTTCCAAACGGATCCCTCTAAAACAGAATAAGTCTATCATTTTATGGACAATATTAAAATAAGAAAAGCTCTTAGAGCTAATATTGAATTATAAATAGTGGAATTTCTCTATAAAGACGCCCCTTCCCAAGTCACTTTCTTTCTTAGGTTAGTGCCTATGGGTCAGAGGCGGGTGTCAGAAATCAGAATTCCGCCCACTCTACATCATTATAGGGAGATTCCACCATACTCAAAATAAAATATTTTTAAAAATAAAAAAACTAGTAATTTAATTAATTATTTTCCTTCAAATTAAAAATCCAGAAAAGGATCCAAAATTTAATTTAATATGCTGAAGTACTGAAATACATTGGCATTCACCCAATGGTGATTCCATATCTGTTGGATCAACAGGCCGCCAATTATATATTACTGCTGGAGCTTCTTTTCCAGAAGACAAACTTTTTTCAATTTTTGGAAACTGAAAAATTAAAAAAAAATTATTTTTTGGAATTTTTGAAATTTAATTATTCTGTTACCTTGTGAATTGGCCGCTTTGCCCGCCTTTTAATATTCCTCGCAAATAAAGTTAATTCACTTAATTTAAAATTATCAAATTCTTCTCCCTCATTTTCTTTATCTTCTTCCTCTTCAACTTTTTCAATTGTTATTTTTCGTTTTTTAATAGTTGAGAATTCAGCACAAACTTTAGCACAATTTTCTCGTTCAACGTCTATTTTAGTTGCAACAATAGGGCCTCCAAGTTCATGATCCCAAAACCGATCACGTTCAGAATCGCCTTTAAAAAAATAATTTTAAAAATTAGATAACTAGTTATTCTATGATCATTAAAGTATTCTAAATAATTTTTGAATTCCCTTCTTTTAAAGTCAATTTCCTCCAACTAAGTTAATGGAAATATCGCTTAAATAACGATTGTAATTACAACTAACAGGTGTTGAGTATACAGAAGATATACCCTATAAACTCTCTTCCTCTTCTGACATCAATATCCTAATCATCCTTCATAACATTCCAAATTACCTTTACCTTTTAACGTCTTTAATGTTCATAAGTTAACACCTTTAACTCCCAATAGGTAATGTAAAAAGCTCTTAATTTGGCTATGTATACCCTTAAGCCAAGTTAACATTATATCTAATAAATTCCAAATTTATTTTCGATCTACATACAATATCATTTTCATTTTTACGTAATTTCCTTTTTTTATTCCAAACAAACAATATTTTACGTAGAAACATTTCTTACGCATTTTTCCTTTGTTTTCGGAATATTTCGTGGCATTTTATTTAAAAATAAAAAAAAGAAAATTTAGTTCCTTTATTTCTAAATTTATTTTTTAAACATTAATCAGGTAGAAAATATTTTTTTGTTCCTTTTAAATATTTACGTAGAGACGCCCACCTTTATATATAGTTCCCCTTTTATTAAAAATGTTTGGAAATTTTTTTTGTTTTCTAGAAAAGCGGAAGTTGTGTCGTAGGTTATAAGTTATAGAAGAAAATAAAAAATTTTTAGAAAAAAAATTTTCGGGAGAAAATGCCTCATGGTAAAGACACACTTTCATTAATTACTATACTTATACATAGACACCCATTTACACTTTGGAATAATTTTTGAAAAAATATTTTTCGCCTAATTTTGTTTCTATTCATTTTTAAAATCTTAATTAGTAGACTTAAAATATGTTTATAAAATGGAAAAGGTAAAATATATGTACGTAGAAAGATCTAAAAATAAATATACATATTTTTAAAAGGTTAGCAAGTACAGATTTACTTAAAAAATGAAATATTTTTGTGAATAAAGTAAAGAAAATTTGGAAAATATATGTGTTTAAGTTGAGTGATTGGAATATTTTAAAGGATTAAGAGTGTTTCCTGTGCCATTTGTTGATCCAATATTGTTTTTAAATTTTTGTCTTATTTCTAAATCTAAAATTATTAGGAAACCTTTCCTATTTTTAATTCATTTATATCCCAAAACAATTCCTTATCCGCTTTCTCAATTTTCTCAATATTTTTGTTTTTGTATCAGAAACACGTTTTTTTTCAAATTAAAAAATAAATAGCTACGTACAAGTTGTATCTCTAAAAATAGAAATTCTAATTAGTAAATATATTTTTGCATATTAAAATTTTTGGCAAAAAATTGCGTAAAAATATTTTTGTATTGTTTTAATTGAAATAAATATATTTTTTGAAAAATTGGAAAATTAAGATTACTCATTAGATTTAGAAGAAAATAAGAGAGAGAGAGACGAAAAAACAATGATTTTCCGTGATTTTTAGGTAAAATGTGGGGATTAGAAATTTTATTTTAGAAAACTACAAGTAATACTAATAAACTAATTTTTAATCTATTTCCAGAAAAATTTTAATAAAAAAGGAAGTAAAAATTAAAAATATCATCAAAGAATTAGAAAAAAATAATTTCAATTAAAATTATTCTTAGACTTTATTTAGTTGATTTTATTTTAGGAAAGGATTTTCTAGGGATTTTTAAAGGGCATCTGTCTCAAAGATTGCAAAGAAGGATTATAGGTATTAGTATTTTAATTTAGTAATTGGAGAGAAAATAAAAACAAATTCTAATTCTTTTTTTGAAACTCTCATATGTATGACTGACGCCTTTCAAGACATTAATTCTACCGAAATAATTAATTTAATACTTTAATGATCATTTGTTTAACCCTAAATAGGTACTTTAATTAAAATAATTACCATAATCCAAACACAAAGCAAAGAGCAAATCCTTCCCCTCATTAGACTTTTCAGTATTTTCATCCCCTTTACTAATTCCCAAATTCACAACCGTTCCATTCAATGACCGACTTTTAAGGGTGCATTGTCCACCAATACGTTGCCATTCAAAGGCCATACAACAAACATCGGCTAAAAAATTAAAAGATTTTTTAGAATTCTTATAAAAAAATTCTCTACTTTTGCATACATCCGCACATTGTCTACGTGACAATCCAAAATCTCTTCGATAGTCAGCTCCAAGTATAGTAAGGCCAGGAGCGAATGAATAACACTTCCCTAAAATAAATAAATGTTTTTTAAATTATTCTCTCCCAAAATTTTACCATTGCTTTGTGCCTCAATCTGAACAGGCAAAAATAAAACAAACAAAACAATAAACAACAAAAATGAAGAAAACATTTGTTGATTTAGGGAAAACAATGTTTTATTTGAATAAAAAGATGTTGCAAAACAAGGCGAAGAAATAGGCGTTGTTTTTAAATGTTCAAGTTTTTCAACGTTAAAAATGTTTGTTTTGTTCAGAACTTTTTTGTTTTGTTCGTCTTCTTTGTTGTTTTCTTTGTTATTTCGATGTTTTGTTGTTTCTACTTTTATCATTGTTTGTTGACCGTAAGTTGATGAACAAGTTGGAATTTGAAAGGGCATTTAATTAATTAGGTAATTAATTATTTTATTAATTATTAATTATTGTTTAGAAGCAACAATTTTTTTTTCTAAATAAAAAAATAAAATAAATAATTTATTTAAAATTATTTAAAATTATTATAGATCAGAAAAATTATTAAAAAAAGCTTCTAATAATTAACAGATTTATTTATAATATAAAAGTTTTTGGAAGCACTAAAAAGGAGGAAGTTGAGACAGGAAAGGGGAGGAGGAAAGAGGAAATAAATATTTAAAAATGTTAAATAAAAATATATTTATTTTTACTTTTAAGCTAAATTAAATACAAAAATAGCCAGCTATATGTACCTATATTTAATAACCTCAAAATAATTTATTTATTCTCGCATTTTGTCGGTGTAAATTACCCTTTTCTCCTTTCCTTTTCAGAAAAAATAAAATTAAATAAATAATTTATTTTAATAAAAAAGTTCAAAAGTTTAAAGTATTTAAGTAATAAATTTAAATATTCTTATGTCAATGTATATATTTTTATTTAATTAATAAGGAAATGTGAGGGCTGAATAAAATGTTAAAAAAATATTTATTTTTTGTTGAAAGTTGGGGAAATTAAAGATTTTTTTAAATTTTATTTTTTAGTCTTTTTAATTTATTAATTAAAAATTCTAAAAATTTTATTACAAAAAATCACAAAAAATATTTTATTATTTAACAAATTAAAATTATTAACCAAAAAAATTTTTAGATTATTTTTTTAATCAAACCAAAATTCCTAAAAATTATTTTAATAAATTAAATGGCAAAAAATGTCCTTCTACTACTAAATCCCTCTCATAATTTAATTAATTTAAAATGTCTATTTATTTATTTTTTTATTTAGACTTTTAATATCGCTTATTAAAATATTTTTTTAATTAAAAAAATAACATTTTTTTAATTCTCTTTCCTTTAAATGGAAACACTTAGTTTTTCTAAAATATTTTTTTTCTAATTTTGGGTTGTTTTGTAGAAAAATATTTTTGAACTTTTAAGACTTTAAAAGCTTTTATTTTTTGTTTAATTGAGGAGGGGATTAAATAAAAGTTGAGGGAGGATTTTTAGGAAGTACTTTAAAGTTTATTTATTTATTTAATGATGCGAGATAAATAAATAAATAATTAAATGGTACTACTATATATAAAAACTGATGTTTCAAAATTAGGTATATTTTTTTAATAATGGATATTGCCAGAAGAATTTAAGTAAAGAAATGAATTAAGTGATTAATAATTAATAATAAAGTCAAAAAACTTTTAATTTTTGTTTATTTAGTAGTTATTAAATTAAAGAGATATTCGGCAGGGACAGGCTCTCTTCCGCTTCCCTCTTCCGCAGAATTCCCTTCCGTCTTTTTATTTTCTTCCGCTTTTTACAATCCGGCAGGGCCCATCATTGAAATACTGCATTTACATGTATTATCCCAAAAATACTTTAATACCTAAGATGTCCCAATACTTATGCCACATAATTTTCATTACGTTTAAAATATTTAAGTCTTTAAGGATAATAAATAAATATGTGTATTTTTGTAAGCTGAAGAAAATGAAAAATTAATTGTGGAAGAGGAAATACTAAAAAATTAAATTTATTTATATTTACATATAAAAAAACAAGGAAGAATTTTTTACAAATCCAAAAGCGGAAAATATTTTTGTATTTCCGTCAAAGCTAAATCTGAAAGGAATATGTCAGCGTCAACAAGAATTTAAAACCAAAAAAGGATCCTCTCAAAAAAAATTATTTTTTTCTCAAAAACTTTTTAAAGCTAAAATTTTTTTCTTTTGACGACAAAGCCTTTCAAATAAATTAGTTAAATAAAATAATTTTAAAAATTTGTTTATATATTAGAGATGTCAGTGCATTTTTAAAAAAATATTTATTACAAAGATCTACTTATTTAGGGGTACTTAAATATATACAAAAAAAATTTTGTCATTTGCCTAATTGTTTTTTCCGTTAAATATTTGATGTACATAAAGTAAACATTTATTTTATTTTTAGAGAAAAAATAATTATTAGTAAAGATGATTATCTTCCTGAATATTTAGATAACTAATGTATGTACTAGACTTAAATATACTCTAAAAATAGAGAAGGATTTTTTGAAATAAAATTAATTTTTTAATTAAAATCAGAATTTTTAATTAAAAAAGGGAAATTTTAGAAAATTATTAGCAAATCAGAATTTATAAAAATAAAATCAGAATAATTAAATATTATTTATTAGGTACTTATCAGGGGTGTACTTATCAGGTTTCGCCTTTTGCCGAATTTTTTTATTTTTGGTATTCTTTCGCTAAGATCAGTTTCGGAATAGCCCTCGCACTTAAGCACGAATGTATATTTATTACAAATAAATATATACATTTAAGCCTTTATATATACACAATTTTTAGTTTCCACAAAAAGGTTACTACTATAAAAATTAACAAAAAATAATAATTAACAACTTGTTTTTTTAAATAAATAAGACAGAGGATATTTTAAAAAAAGGCGTGGTGACATTAAAAGAGGAAGAAATAAATAAAAATACAAAATGTTAAAGATTTTAGGCTCCGCCCCTTTTTTGGATTATTTAAATCTTATAAGCTTTAAAAAGGAGGGAAAGGGTCAATAAAGTATTTTTGGGCATTGGAGTATTTGGTGGATTTTATTAGATTAATTTTTGGATATTAAACTGAGTAAGAAGTTGCTCTCAAAATATAATGGAGAGAAATTTTGAATTTAAAATGTGGGCGTGGTTATTGAGAAAAATAATTTTGAGATTTTAAATTAATTAACAAAGAAAAATCAGAAAGCTATCTCTCCCCTATTTTTTAAATATTTTTTAAAATTTAAACAAAAAATGATATAAAATCAAAAATAAATATTAAAAAATTGCAACCAAAAATAATATTTAAAAATAAAACGAAAAGAAAACAAATAATGTAAATTAAATCTTTTTTTAAGAAATTTAAAAAATAAATAATTATTATTAAATAATAATAATATTTTTATTTATATGTCAAATAACGTAATTAAATATTTTTTATTACAATATATACTATATATACATATTTGATTATAATAATAAACGTTATTTAACATTTCCTTTAAAAATAACAAAAAACTTGACCATTATTTAAATATAATTTCTTTTTATTTTTGCGCATTTCTTTCTAAAAATGGGTATATTAATATATTTAAATAAAATATATATAAATATTTTAAATAAAGTGTTCATTTGGCACGAAATGTTTATTATGTGCTTTGCTTTATTTTGTGAAAAACAAGGAATTAAAAATTAAAAATAAATATTTTTTAAATGTTGAGGGAATACTTTTTGTTTTTTAGTTTTTAAAAAAAAAGCTTTTGAACTTAGGGAATATTTTTTTATTTGCGCAATTGGGAACTCTATTGTTTTTATTTTCTTTAATTTTAAAAATATTTATTTTTGTTGCGTATATTTTTGGGAAAATTTTGAAAAGAAAAATAAAAATAAATATGACGAATTTAAACTTTAAATAAATTTATAAATAATTAAAATATATATTATTTTGTGTAAAATCTAAAAATGGGTTTTTGAGGACAGGAGGAGTAGAAAAGAATTTATGACCTCACTTTGTTTACACCTCCACTAAAGGATATCTCAAAATAATCTTCAGGTACAAATGAATTTCTCTTTAACAATCAGCGTCGGAATTCAGAAAAAAAGAAATGCCACCTACTACGTAGTTTAAACCTCTAATGTTTTGGTAAATCTCACTTTCTTTTAGTTAAAAAACAGGCCGATCTAACACAAACCCTTTACTACAAAGTCATAACAAAACATAAAGATAGAAGCTGACCTGTGTTAGGCTCTTTTAACTTTTTTTGTTTTTTTAATTAAAATTCCGAATAATTGGACGTAAAGGATGGACCTGAAGTAGCTGTTTAAAATATATTTTAAAATATGAGAGAGGTGAGGGATTGGAAGTGGAAAACTTGCACAGTCTTAGGTTGTAGTATAACTACATTAAATAATTTTTTCATAATTCAGTGAAATAAAAACCTTTTTAAAAAAAATTTTTTTAGTTATTTTAAACTGTCTGAAATTTGAAAAAAAATTTAATAAATAAATAAAATTAACACGCAATCTTGTCAAACTCTAAATTTAGTCAAAATAATTTCTTCCAATAATTTTTACAAATTTGGAATAAACTCCTCTAAAAATAAATTTTTAATAAAAAATAAGGAAGTATATTTTTTATTAAATAAAATTATTTTTGTTGACAATTTTTTTGGAAATACCAAAATAAATATAATTTTTGATTATTCAAAAATTAAATTTTATTGGGCTTAAAAGTCTTTTAAATAAGAATAATTAACTTTGAATAATTTATTTGAAATAATTTAACTTTGAATCCATTAATGCAGTTAATAGATTTACTTAGTTTACCCTCAGTACTACGTACCAAAATAATTGCATCCCTAAACTTAACTTGTATTCCATCAAACTTTATTCCGATCCATTTCAAACTTTGGATGGATAGTTATGCTTAAATGGATAGTTATGCCTCAAAATTCGAATATTGTGCTTTAGGAAACTTTGGAATATTTTATAAAGATTGAGGCATAAATATTTGTTTAAATAAAAATAATTTAAATAATTAGAGGAAATATCAATTAAAAATTCTACAAAAATTCCTATGAACTACTAATATAAAATAACAAACAAGACAATTAATCACTAAACCCCTCTTATCACCAACATATCAAAACCACAAAATCAAACATTAAAATCCATGTCAAATTCCTGTGCCTATTTCAGATACTGTCGGATATAAAATTATTAATAAAAATTCGAATAAATTTCTATAGCCTTTTAAATAATTGGGTTTTAAAAAATTATTTTTCTTCAATTCCCCCCACCCACAAATAATTCAATCATCACGTCATTTTCTCTAATACTCCAACCCTCAACCACTTTTTTTAAATTCAATTTATTCGCTACATTGCCTCCTTCCCTTTTAACCAAAAAATGGCAGCACTTTAATAGAGGTCATTGAATTAAAATATTTTTAAGAAAAAGTTTTTTGTCCCAACTTCCGCTTTCATTTGACGTTTATTAAATTGTTAAAAAAATATTTTTTGAAAAAAAATAAATAAAATTTGCATTCTTATTGTGTTTTATAGACATTAAAATGACGACAAGTATTTTTAAAAAAGAGGAAGTAAAAAGATAAAAAATATTGGAAAATTATTCTTAGGAAGAATATTAATGGTTTCCTTAAAATACGAAAATTGAAAAAAAATTCTAAGTTTAAAATTTCCTTTAAATTGATCAAAATTTTGTTTAAAGAGATTTTTAACTAAGAAAATAAAGTTGAGTTTGTAGTCCCCAATAAACATGCAGGAAATGTTTCGTTGTTTAGTAAGATTTTTTGTATTTCGTTTTCGTTTAGTTACTAAACACTTTTTAATTTGTTTGAACTTTCGTGCAGGCCTAGTCCCTGAGAATTCGTTAAAACCAACATAACTTATTTTAACGACGTCCAATTTTTTCTGCCCAAGAGGCTCGATAAATTGTGGGATTTAATCATTTTTTTCATATGAAAATAATTCAAATATTTCGTTAATCACAAAATAACCTCCCCTCGTATGAGAAATTTTTAAATATACCGTATTTACTCTAATAATCCCCCAGTCCTTTATTAATTCCCCAGTCTCTATTAATTCCCCACTCTAGAAATGGGTTGAAACAATAATCCCCCTGGGGGATTACTAGAGAAAATACGGTAATTAATTTTTTCTTAATTTTTATTTTCAGTTAATTTATTTTAAGTTAAAATTACAGTAATTTTTGATATTTTTATATTTAATTTTGCTAGTTAACATTTAATTTCCTTATTTTATGCATGAAATTACATAAATATAAAACAATATGTAAATGCAAATAAATATACTTAGGTATTTGTAAAATAATAATAAAAATAGTTTACGGTCAAAGAAAAATTTTAAAATGAAAAATAATAATAATTTTTTTGTGAAAAAAAAAATTAAAAAAAGTGTGGAAAAAAATAATTAAAAAATAAAATTTTATTTTTATTTTTTTTGCAAAATTTTCACTAATAATAGGCATAAGTGTGCGTCATTAAATTTCTATTACATAGAAAAAGAAAAAATAATTTTTAAAAAACTTTTTTTAATGTTTTAATAAAATTATATTGAAAGTCTAAATATAATTAAATAATTTAAAAAAAATATATTTTTTAATTTAATAAATAAACGTTTTAGTCATTTAATTAAACAATTGGTCTAATTTTTAAAATAATAAAATTATTAAAAAATAAAGGAAATAAAAATATTTAATTATATTAAATTTAAATTTAATTTTAAGAGAAAATTAAATTTATTTTTGTTACGTTAAAGAAAAATTAAAAATTAAATTTTAATGAACAAGGAAGTGTTTATTTTAAAAATAAAAACAATAAATAGCGGAAACTAATTTTGTTGAATTTAATTTTATTGTTTAAAAATAGTCTATTTTTGTAATCTTTTTAAATTTTAATCTTTTTTTGTTATTCTTTTGGATTTTGAATTAATGTTTGGCTTCTTCTTGGGATAGGCTACAAAAAAATGAAAGAGGAAATAAAAATAATTTTTGATTAGAAAGGGAAGGATTGTCTTGAAGCAGATAACCGAGTTTAACAGAGTTGTGTCACTTCTCCCTACACTACCCTTGAACAACCTTTAAAGAAACAAATTTTTGCTCGTAGATATTCTAATTAGAATCTTAGTTATAATTTTAGTTCGCCCTTCTAAGTTTTAGAATATAATTTCCTTCTATTGAATATTAAATATTATTTTGACTATTAAAAATTAATTGTGGAGAGCTCTCTTTGAATTAATAAAGAATACATAGTACATAAATGTATGTAAACAAAAAAAAGAAAATCAAAATTTTTGAGAGAAAAAAGAAGATTCAATCTTTTATATCAAAACTTCTCGTACTTTAAAATAATTATAATTTTAAAAATATGTGTATACCAGGAATACACCAAGACAGATCTCAAAAAGCGACCTGACAAAGAGATCTAATTGAATATTAAATACTCTTTTTGTACTTTAAAATTTTTAATAAAAAAAAATTAATTATTAAATAAATTAAATATTTAAATAATTTTAAATTAAAAAAAAAAGTTTCAACATAAAATAATTGGTTTGTTAAATTTTAATAAATCATTGCTTTTAAATACAAAAAACTTTCTAATTAAAAATAAGCTAAAGAAAATTATGTTAATCTGAAAAATAAAAATAAATTTAGTGAAAATCTCAATATTAATTATTAGGAATTAAAAATAATTATTTTGACGTAATTAACAACAAATTAATTTTTTTAAAATGTTTCAGCTGACCATTTTTTCATTGATTGATAAAAGTGATTTTCTAAAAATTTTTATTTTATTTTAAAGATATTGGCTTTAAATAAATTAGAATAAATTGGAAATTAAATTAACTAATTAAGTTAAAGAGAAAATATTTAAATTTGTTTTTGATTTTCAAAAGTAGGTGAACGTTTCTGAATTTTGATAGAGCTTGAAATACTTTTAGAAAAATATAATCTTTATCCCAAAACAATTCACTTATTATCGTTAAAAATAACGACAACTGAATAGCGAAAATATTATTTAATATTTGAAATGGGTTGGGTGAAAGAAAAAATATTTTTGAGATTTTGATATAAAAATTGAAATTAAAAATAAAAAAAGGGCAAGAAACCCGTAAAAGAGATTTCAAGTAGAGGGACTTTTAAAGGATTAACAAATAACTTTTTTAGTTCTTTTTTTTCTAAATTTTAATTAAATTTATTTTTAAAAATTTATTAAAAACAGAAAACCTATCCTCTACCCTCTCCCTCCTTTCCTTCTCTCCCCTTTAATAAAAAATAATCTTTTTAAATTCCTATTTTTAGTTCCTCGTTCCAATCTTATTTAAAAAAAGTACATTAATATATATTTAAATATACAAATATTTAAAGCACGCAAGATAAAAAAAAATTTGGATATCCCTCCATATTTAATTAAGTTTATTATATGTATTTATTTATTGTACTTAAGTATTACTAAATATATAAGGGAAGTAAAATGTCTTTAAATAAATATTTACTGTAATAAAAATATGTAAAGTTAGAAAATAGTTTGTGTATATATTTTGTAGCTTTTTTTTAAAGTTTGGTAAAAATATTTAATTTTAAGAGAATATTGGGAAGCACCCCGTTCCCCGGTGAATTTTTAGGCAAACGCCCCGACCCGATCCGACCCCCGAAGGCGCTACCCTATATTTAAGTATTTATAAATTCTCAAAAAATCACAAATTTCCAATTTTTTGACAAATTAAATATTTAAAAAATAAATAAATAAAAACAAATTTAATTTTTAAAATTAATATTTATATATTTATTTACTTAACTTTTAAAAATAAATAATTACAAAAATAATTTAATACAAAAGAAATATTTAAATAACAAATACAAATATTTATTTATTTAGTTTAAGATAAATATACGCGTCATTAAATACAGCTAAACAATAAAAACAATTATTTTTTAATTAACAAAAATTTTCTTAAAAATTGTCTTTTTAATTACATTTACGTATAAATTGAATTTTTTTAAATCAAAATTTATTTAAATATTTATTTTTATAAAATAATTTTAAATAAAATTGAACGTTTAAAAAATCAAAACATTATTTAAATGTTTTTAATTAATTAATTAATTGAAGCTTATTTAAAGCTAATTAATAAAAAATTAGTTTGCAGAAATAAACATAATAACTATATGTAATTAACTTGTAAAATAAACTTTCAATATTTAAATAATAAAAATTGAAAATTAATTTTATAAATAGGCCCCTTTTCTGCGAAATAAACTGAAAAATAAAAATTTTGAAAGCTTGTATTTTTAATTTAATTTTTAAATAATTTAATTTTAGCACCAAATTCAAAAGTTCATTTTATATTTTAAATAAAAAGCATATTAAAATTACCAATTTAGGTTCATTTACCCTTTAAAAGGGAAATGATGCTATACCCTAAAGGATTTATATATTTTAAAAGGTTAACCAATTTGAACGCTTATTTTGGCATCCAGATGGCGAATAAAAAATTTAAAGTGTCAAAACAACAATTTAAAAATAGTAAATAAAAGCCACAAAACAACTTTAAATGCCAAAATAAATTCAAAAACAATTTTTGGGAATAAAACTTTTTTGTGATTTTATTTAAGCAGAAAAATTTGTAAAATGTTTTTACGCAGAAAAAAATTTTTTAGAGTATTTTGGGAGAATTATTACGTCATAAAAATTATAAAATACAAAGAGTTTTGAATTGGATTGTCAGGTTGACTAAATTATTCGCTAAAAACTTTTAAGAAATAGCAGATATAAAAATTAGTAGAATTTAATTGTTTGAAAATTATTTAATTAAAGGGAAAGACAAGAGAAAAATAAAATTTCTTTTTGTAAAAAATTTTTTATGGAGATAGACCAAGAGATTGGACCAAACAAAATTCAACTTCAGAAAATCAAATATGGTCACTTTTGAAAGAAAAAAATCAAAAATTTTCAAATATCAAATATTTTTGTCGTATCTCTACTAACATAAATACATTTACTAAAATATTTCCAAAATTCCAAATTTAATTTTTTTTAAATCATTAATATAAATTTACATACATATGTACATATATTTTTATTTACTAAATTTATAAATATTCAAACTTTAAAAATATTCAAAATTGATAAATAAATTTTTATTTATAATTTTATCTCTTTACATTTACCTTCTATCCCATACGGACACGCTCTCGAATTGCAAGACAAAGCTTCATAGTTTGTAAAATTAGTTGATTAGCAGCAATATAAACCTAAAAAATATTTAAAATCAAAAAAATCTTTTCTCAAAAATTTACTTGATTAGCTTCCTGCCGTTTAAAATAATCCTTCAAAGTATTACTAAAACGTTTGCTAGCTTGAACAAATTCTCTCTTTCGTTTCTCAACCACTTTAAAATTATATTTTAAATAATTTAAATTTTAAAAAATTCCTTACAATGTTGGTAATTAATTGGAACAATTGCAATTATTGCATTTGTTGTGTCCAATAAATATTTAATTGATGCAGCAATTTCTTTAATTGTTTCGAGAAATGGACGCCTTAAAAAAGAATTGTTTGAATAAATAAATTTAAAAGAAAAAAATTTAGAAGAAAAAAAACAAAATATTTGAATATAATTAAAAAATAATAAGATTTTTCGATGGGTTTTGAAGGAAATTTGTGAACTTGTCCGTAAAAAATCTTTCAACTACGTTTAAAATAGAGGTTGATCTCGATCTAGAACTTTATTTTTATTTAATTTAGAGTCGAGGTAATTTTTATGGTTCCTCAATTTTTCCCGAAGAATTTAAAATCAAGTCCATGACAATTAAGTCACGATAAATTACACTATTTTAAAAACTTTTTAGGAGGAAAAAGTTATTTAATTTTAAGTGTAATTTTAAAAACAAAAAACAAATTTAACTATAAAAAGATAACCTTTCTGTCATACCATCGGGTATTCGAGACAAAACCCGACGTAAAGCGATGGCTCTAAAATAAAAAAAAATTAAACATTTTTAATATTAAAAATTAAAAAAACCTGACAGAAAAAAGTTGAAATTCTTGAATTTGTGAAAGACGTGGAGGAAATTCTAAATCAGAATTTGGAGCATTTGCATGCATTCGCAAATAAGATTCCTTTTAAAAATTAAAAAAGTTTTTAAAAATAAAATTTTAAAAACCTGCAAATTAATAGAATTCCCCAAACCCGACTCGGCAAAAATTAATTTGGAAAAATCAAAAAGAAATGAATGAGAAGCTTGGTCAACATGGCGAAACACCTCGAGAAGATGCTTAGAAAAAATTTAAAAATAAATTTATGACTAGATAAATTTGAGGAAAATGACACGGCTAGAGAATGTACAGAAAAACTAGATTTTATAACAAAGAAGACATTCAACCAAATCGACAATTAACCGATTGATATGTTTTGAATATTTAATTTTACCCTAAAAATAAAATTGTGACATGGTTAGGCTAAAGGTTGAAATAAAAAATAAAAAAGTAAACCAAAAATAATACAAATTTTTAGAAGAGTTTTTAACGGAAATAATCTTATAGATAAATTGGCATTTGGTGAATGTTCTCTATTTGTTCCTTCTTTAAATGCCCAGACATCCCAAAAAATATTAATAAAAATTTTAAAACTCACATTTAATGCATAAACAGCTTCTTGGTTCTTAAAAATAATTTTTTTCTTAATTTTTTAAAAAAATTTTTACCTCAACATAAGAATGTTTTACACGTTCAATTGCTGGCTTAAAAAGGCAAGAATAAGTCCATGGCACCAAATAAGATTCTACATTTTCATGATTAATTTCCTCGTCGTCTTTTCGTTTAATTTCACTTTTGTTGTCATTTTCTATATTTTTTGGTATTGAAATTGAGGTAGAAGCTGTAGAGACTATAGCCGTTGCTTTGTTAGTTTTTATATTTAAATTGTGATTATTTAACATCTAAAAATTGTGAAAAAAAAAATTTTTAAGAAAAATTAGAAAAAAAAACAAAAAGATAAATCATGGATAAGGGACGACTCATAGTCGCTGATTCAGAGTAGGACGATTCAGAGAGAATGTGTAACTTGTAAATGTAAATGCCATAAATTTAATGCAAAGATAGTATCTTTGTTCGTTAATTACATATATCGAGAGTTATTGTAAAATGATTTTTAAATTTAGGGAACATTTTCAAATGAGATAGGGATCTGCTAAATACGGTATGTTGGTTTACTATAAAAGCGCCTGAGAAAAAGTGGAAAACCTTTTCGTCCAAATCATTCGAATGCAGTCTACAATCATTGCCGCTCTGCTTATCTTCATTTCCTGCTCAACATCGTTGTTTGTACAATGTCTCAGAGGCAAGAAGTCAGACTCGAAGAAGGAAACTGCCAGGAAGAAGAAGGGAACAACTGAGGGAAGGAAAAAAAGCGGCAGAAAGAGGGAAAGCAACCAGAAATCTCCTACTCGTGAAGAAAAAAAGAAGTCGACTCCAAACAAGAAGTACATCAAGTCCAAGTCTTTCGATCAAAAAGAGCAAAAACCAAATAAATGGTACCATCTGCAGCTGCTCGTTCCAGTTACGACATACGTCCTTTCACCATACGGCAAAAAGAAAAAGAAGAGTGACCAGGCAAAGGACATCACGGAGAAGGGTGTGAAGACAGCTATTGCTATTTCTTCCGACCAACCTCCCGTCAAAGGACAACACAAATTCGAAGCTGTGAAGGCCGACGAGACTAGAAGGAATGAAATACAACAAACAGCTAAAAGTTTGGGGGGTCGTGTTCCAACAGTCGAAAAAGCCACTCCAGACGGTAATGCTGTTAATTTGGTGGTTGGAGAAGCAATTGGCAACTATAAGGTCACGAGTCGACTTGGAGCGGGTAATAAAAACAACTTTTTAATCATTTTCACATTCCCCCTTCATTTCTAGGTGGTTGTGGTGTTGTCTACCGAGTAGTCTCAAAAGAAGGAAAGGATTATGCAATGAAAGTCGAGCGTACCAACATAGACAGATCTGATCAGCTTCTCCCTCTCGAGGCACACATCCTTAAGCGCTTGCAGTTTTCTCCTTACGCTGCCCAATTTCAACAATATGGGAGTTGTCAAAGTAATGTTTTTTGCTTCTTTTTTCTGAATTAAATTGTTCTATTTGCAGCAAAGGAAGGCGGATTTCGTGTCCTCATAATGGGACTTCTTGGCCCTTCATTGAACGAATTACAAAAGCAACAACTCAACGGACGATTCTCAATCGGCACGATACTGAAGATTGGAATACAGGCCGTCCGGGTATGTAAAAATAAATGAATTCGTTTTTGAAAAAAATTATTTTTGGTTATAGGCTGTTGCTTTTATGCATTCCACATATTTTGTGCACCGCGATATAAAGCCAAGCAATTTTGCAATTGATGAAGTTAACCACAAACGGTTGTATCTCTTTGACTTTGGACTTGCAAGATCAATAAAAACTCGAGGAGAAATGAGTTTGCGCAGGCCTAGACCAGACGTTCCATTTCGCGGAACCCCAGCTTATTGTAGCCTAAACGGTTAGTCTGATAGATTAAAAAACTTGTTCAAAATTCTAATTTCTAGCGCATAAAAGAAATGAGCACGGGAGACACGATGATTTATGGTCAATTCTCTATATGTTGGTGGGATTAGCTATAGCGCGCCTTCCATGGCAGGGCAAGACTCGAATTCTAACAAAGATACTTAAAGAACAATTAATGGATTCTCATTATATGTTTGTAAGTACAAACTAAAAAGAATTTCCTTTTTAAAATTTTTTTGTTTTTAAGGGATGCCCTGTTGCATTTTCAACAATTTTGATTTATTTACGCTCGTTGGATTACTATAAACGGCCTGATTATGTTGGAATTGAGCACGCATTTTTTGAAATGCTGAGAGCACGCAGATTAAGTAGGGGTATTCAAATGGATTGGGAGGTTTGAAAAAAAAGAATAAAAATTTCATAAATTTTTAAACAATTTTAGGATCAACGACCTAAACAATATATGGGAGTCAGCGTACCTAATACCTCAAATAGCAGCGATAGATAAATAAGACGTAGATAAAATTAATGATAATTGTTCTGTTTGATTACATAAATTCATCTGTTGTTTAAAAATAAATAATTTGTTTTTCCTCTTATTTGTCTGCTAATGAAATTTGGATAGGGGGTGACTCAAATTCTTAACCCGCCATCGCTTAAGAAAAAAACCCGACGAAATACCGGAAGTTCGATTTTGCCGACCTCTAATTCAGAGTATCCGTCTAAAAGGAAGTTCAATATTTCAAATAACGAGACTCTAATATTAAACATTTTGGCATTATGTTAATTTATTTCTCGAAATTTATTCAAATTGTCCACATGGAAATTTCGATCAATCTTTGTTTTTTGCTTGTTTCTTATTTTTTATTTTTTCCCCAAATTATTTGAATTTTAGATAAGTTAATTATAAATAAAATGGGTGCTGTAATTAGTAATGAAAATGTTGGAGAAATTACCCTTCAAAATGAATTACTGCAACGTTTGGCTGGTCGTATTCCGTTAAATAGCAACGATCCGTATTGGAATAAATTGTTTTCTTTTAATTTTAATTTGGATCAACAAAGCAGGTTAAACTTTATTTTTTTATATTTTCAATCGAAGTTAAATTATTGGAGTTAAATTAGGGTAATCAGCTTTTTATTTCACGTTCCCTCCGAATTTTTTAATGTTGAATAATCCTTGTAAATAAAAAATTTTCACCGAAACGTAAATTCGAATTGCTTCCCACTTTCCCTTGACCTTGTGAACATTCCTCATTTTCTTATTTTTACAGAAAAATTCAATCAAATTTCTTGGAAAATATAAATCCAATACTTGAGCAGTTAATGCACAACACACGGGAGACGGGAAATATTGCAACTTTAATAAAAACATTTAATAGACGTTGTGGAGAACTTGAAGCGTCTGCAAAATGTGAAAAGTAGGTGTTCTTTTGGAAATTATTTTTGGGGTTTCCTTTTATTTTTTAATTATTTTTATTTCAGCAAAATTTTTATTTGGCAAGCATCTAATGCTCTTTTAATTATTCGTTATATTTCTGTATTTTTGGCTCAACGTCTATCTCCAACAGAATTTACGAATATTTTTGGAAATCGTGGCAGTCTTTATGAAACAAAAAAATCAGAAAGTAATGAAATTGACGATGATGATGAGGAAAATTTGGATGAGAATACTTCTGATTCAAGTATATTCTGAATATTTTTTCCATTAGTTCTTTATCTTTTTTAGAAGAAGGAAGTGGTCATCATTTCGAAAGTGCTGCTGAACATTTTCTTGTTAATTTATTAAGAATTCTCACTCGAATACAAGTAAAGTAAGTAAATTTAAAAATTATTTTTAAAATTTTATTTTTCTTTTTAAGTAAAATTACAATTCAATTACACGCTGAAACTCTTCGAGTGCTTCTAGCTTTACTGAGTACGGAGCTCTACGAGGATGGAGTGCATGAGCGATCCGTTTTTCTTCAAATTTTGATGCTTAAAGTGTAAGTAAAATTTTTTAATTAAGAAATTTTTTGACCAAAATAAACCTTTTTAGACGTTCACAGAGTGGAGATATTGTTCGAGTCCTTTTAGAAAACTTCCTTCAACATCATATTGAACCTCTTGATTTATCAGCAGCTGAACAAAGTGGAAATGGAGTTACTGATAATAATAGTAGTAGTTTTGTTATTTCTCTTTGGAGTACTTTACAGAGAACGCTTTCTTTTGGTGGAGGGATTCAGGAAGGTTATTTTTATTTTTTAAATCAATTCCAAGTTAGTATTTTCTGGTTACTCTTTGAAGATTTGTCCCTTATGAAATTAAATTTCTATTTTTAATAAAAATTTTTAGAGGAACTCGATCGATTCCCTACACAGTCATTATCTTCCTTGAGTTTAACACTTTTATTGGCTCTTATTTATTATCCAGCATATGGTGGTCAACAAAATTCTTACAAACAAATGCTCTGCATATTTCAAAATGCACAAGGTTTTTTTAAGTATATTACTTTATATCCAATCAGAAAAAAGTTTTTTGACAATAAGCCTTGTATCTCAAATTCACTTTAAATAAAAAAAATTAACAGAAGTTTCATCACTTGCCAATTTGGAGGCTTCCTTCAAGCTCGATTTCACTCAACTTTACAATCGTCTGTGCCAAACAGTTTATTCTGAAAGACCGCCATTATTGTTACTTTATTTGTTAATTCACAATAATGTTGGATTTCGAAATTTTGTTCATTCTCGCGTAAATTTGGAACAACTTGTTTTGCCGGTAATCCGAGTACTTTTTGATGGAATGTGTACAACTACAGGTTTTTATTTAATAGAAAATTTGTTCTCTTTGTTATACACTGACTGTTAAAATACTCTAGTTTTGAATTTTTCGAGAGCGATAAAGTAGTTTTTTGAAACTTCAAATGTTCTTTTTTGCCAATTTTTAATTTATCTTTTGGTTTATCTTTTGGCTCTATCCCATAATTAGTTTTCAAAAATTTTTTAGGGTCTACACCCTCTTCCCCAGCCAATAAACTTCGTGGTCGTTCTCAATCACTTCAAAATGGTCGACCTCAAAAATCAGCAATATCTAAAACTTCTACTCTGAAAACATCAAAAATTCACACACACCAAATTTATTTGGCATTAATTGTTTTGTTGATGTTAAGTGAAGATGATTTTTTCAAGAAAGTCATTCATGAAATGGTTAAATTATTTATTTTTAATTTAAATTTAATTGTGTTTAGACGCTAAAAAATGTTGATTGGTACCAATCCGATAGAGCCCCGATTGCAGAAATTACTCTTGGGGGTCTAATAATTTTGGTGTTTACAAAAACTATACAAATTAACACTATTCGATTACGGGTTTGTTTTTGAATTTTTAAATCCTCGACAATTACTAATTTTTTTCCCATTCATTCAGGATCGTTATTTCCACGTCAATTCTCTTGCAACACTTGCTAATCTATCTTCATGTTTCAAACAACTTACTCCATTTGTTTGCCAAAAATTGATTGGATTATTAGAGGTTTATTTTCTTAAATTTGTAGCATTTTTAAAAAATTTATTTAAAGACAATGACTAAAAGGCATGCGAAATTAATTCGTGCAATGCGTGAAAATGCAGAACGTGACCCCGTTCGTAAAGTTTCCAAGAATGATGATGATTTGGATTTGGAAGAATTGCAAGATGGAAATGATGATTTGGTATAAATTTTTTGTTTTAAAGTTTGGTGACGCTACTAAATATAGTCAAAATAAAACTCGTCAGTGCTACAATTTTAAAAATACTGAAATTCTGTTTTATTTTTTTTATTTTCTAGCATAGCGATATTACAGCACTCGAAGAAGGCATTCGCACCCTTTTAGAAATTATCAACGCCTGTCTTTGCCGTAATTTACGCAACAATCCAAATTTAATTTATACTGTTCTCTACAAGAGAGAATTATTTGAACATTATCATCAACACCCAATGTTTCAAGATCTTGTTTGGAATATTTATGCGGTATTTGATTTTTGATATTTTTGAATTAAAATCCCCGTTTCTATAACTCCCTCAAAATTTAATTTCTATTTTTGACTCGACTGAATGTGAGTCAAAGTTAATTAAATAGTTTTTGTTCAATAAACTTTAAACTTATTTTTTTTATTATTTGAACGTAAAATTCCCAAATAATTTTAGGTTATAAATCATTTCACTGCTCGTGTTGAGGCAATAATAAGTGCAAATTCTGGTAATGGATCACCCACCTTTGGTGGAGGAAGTGCAGCATCTGCCAATGCAATTGCAAATAATGCTTCTGTTTCTGATATTTTAGAGGCTATTAAAAAAACTGCGATTGAATGGCCAACTGATCGTTTGAAAAAATTTCCTGACTTGCGTTTTAAATATATTGAGGTAAATTTGGGAAAATAATTTTATTTTAATTATTATTGAAGTGTAAGATTATACAGGGTGACAAGAAAGTTCGGAGTGAAGTATTTATGTACATAACTTCAAGCAAAATCATTCTACGGATATAAAATAGATATGATAAGATAGAGAGCTAAATAGGGAATAAATTTTATTAGATTTTCAAAAGATTCCACTTTTCTGCGTTGATACATGGTCGAACGCGTGCGTTAAGATTTTTGATGAAAACTTGCACCGGTTTTTGTGGTTGAAGAATTATAACTTAGGAACGGATTGTGCTATTGATTTGAATTTTTGAGGGAAGCTAGAGGGGTCTCTGATCTTCAAAACCTATAAAACAAAAAAATTTTTAACTAAGAATTTAGAGAGATATTTATCTACAAATAACCCACGCTAAACAAAAAAATTCGTTTCCCCCCAAAACCGAACTACATCTACTCACAGCTCTTCATGTAAGAGTTACAAGTTTCATATTTAAAATTCATCTGGGTTGCCTATAAGCGTAATTAAATTCTTTTGAAATCACGCAGATCTGACTTTCCAGCGTTGAGATACTGTTAGTACAATTTTGTTGAGGAAATTTTGGTATGCCTTACGGTCATGGCTATAACTTTTGTTATATCGAATAATATATTGCTTAATTTTGTAAAATAATAGAGAATTGAATGGGCTACAAAATGAGTATAAAATTATTTAAAAATATTAAGTCTACAGAAAGTTATGGTAAATAAATACTCCACTCCGAACTTTTTTGTCACCCTGTAATTCTGAATTGAATTTTCTTTTTTCTTGTCATTTTTTCACGGAGATTTCTGACTTTTTTTATTTTAACTCTTTTATTTTTAAATAATTTTTTGAATTTTTTTCAGGATGACAATACTGTCGATTTTTTTGTTCCCTACATTTGGCGTTTAATATATGAAAGTGCCGGAATTTACTTTGATCCAGTTGCCATTCAATTGTTTAAAGTAATTGATTGAATTTTTTGACTCTTGAGAAGATAATTAAAGAAGAAATAAATTGTTTCAATTCAGCAGGTTTCGTGCAATAAATTTTTTAAAAATATTTTAAAGTGATGCCAAATCAAAAATTAAAGCAATTTTTAAATAAATCACTTATATATACTTTATTATTATTTTCATAATATATTTTTAAAAATGTTTTTGGATGGTGACTTTATTTTATTTTTTGTTTCTGAAAAAAGTGACTCGCATTAGATTCAATGTTTTATCAAAAAAAAATTTTTTTAAGCAATTCCACCATTTTTATAAGCAATTTGCTTCTATCTTAGGTTCGAGTCATCTATGTTTATTTAAAATTTTTCCATTTCCCGAAATATTTAATTTCTTATAATCTGCAAAACTTTGTCCTTCCTACCTTTTTTCTTAAATTTATTAAATATTGAATAAATTTTGCGAGTCACTTATTTTCTTAAATAAAAATATTCTTTCTGCCCTTATATCTTTAATCAAAAAAATTATTTTTAAAATAAAAATAATTTTAAAAATAAATATTTTCCGTTTAATGTGATATATTTACATAAATATATGCTTAATATTCATTTAAATATTTTTACTTATTATTGCTCCTTTTATTTAAATAGTCTTTTAATTAATTAATTAATCTAATCAACATGTTTTAATTTAAAATAAATTGGATAAATTTGGAAATATTTTGTTGACTTTTTTTTAAAAGTTTTTATTCTTGGAAAGATCTTTATCTTTATTTGTTTTTATTTGAAAAATATATTTTGACAGTTCTGACGTTTTTTCCATTAAAATATGAATGTGCGTGATCGTTTAAATGAACTTAATCGGGTAAGTGAAAATTTTTTTTAATTTTTCATTTTATGGGAAATCAAATTCAAAAACTACCTTTTATTCAAAAAAAATTGTACTAATATTCTTTCCTACCTCGGCTGGGATAATTGCTAAAAAATTAAGAATTAAATCTCTTAAATTTTTTTATTTCCATCTTTATTCAAAGACCAATAATTGATTCTTCCAAATATTTATTAATCTTTACCAAAAATCTATTTGGGTCAATGTTTTTTTGCATACCTTTATTGAGAGATTTCTTAAGATCGTTTATTTAATGTAAAAAATTTTTTTGTCGATTTTATAATAGGATATATTCTAGGATAGGACTTAATATTAAACTTTTGTATTTTGAAGGTCAACTATTTAATTTTCAAAATTATTTTTTTTATTTTTAGACTTTTCTATCATGTTCTCACATTATTTCTCTCTTATTTTACACGAATTAAACAGAAATTGTTGGTTATTAATACCTTTGTCATATATTATTTATCGTTTGACGAGAACTTTTTTGGCACTTTTAGAGGTGTTTTTTAATTGAAAGTTTTTAAATCTTTTATGATTTTAAAGGCATTTTTAATTTATTTTGTTGCTCCTCTTTTTTATACTCCAAATTTGGATATTTATGTTAATCGATGGACAGGTGCTTATTTAGATAATCTTAACATAAATCTAATATCTGTAACTAATCAAAGATCTATATAGCAGGGCTCCTATCTTGAGCTAAAAATCGTATTTTTTATAATAAATCTGCAAAAAAATCAAACACTGAAATCTCTTCTCGCCGCAGGCAAAAATTTTGAGGATTTTGGAAGGCCTTCATTTTAAGAGAAAACGACATAATTATCTTCAAAAGACCACAAAAATCCGCAAAATTACATTTTTAAAAATACCTAATCCTCATCGACCTATCAAAAACCCACAAAATGAGGAAAAATCTGTACATATCGGATCCCTGCTACTTATTATTTATCCATTTTTATTATCTATATTTCTCTTTTAAGCTGTAAGTGGCGGTACTGATGGTATTGGAAAGGCATACATTTTCGAATTGGCTAAACTTGGACTTCGCAAATTTATTTTGATTGGAAGGAGTGAAAATAAATTAAATGCTGTCAAAGAAGAGATTGGTGGAGATTTTTTATTTATTCCAAAATTTTCATTTTTAGAATCACAATTTAAAAATTCTTGTGTTGAAACAATCCTTTTTGACTTCAATAACGCTATTTACCCGGAATATGCAGACAAATTGAGGCGTGAACTCTCTCAATTTAACATTGGATTTGCTTGTTAGAGTTTAAAAATATCTATTTTCTGTCAGATAAATATTGGGAGAAAAGATTTTCAAAAATAAGATTTTCGTATCCTCCCTATATACCGACCTCGGATGGGCACTAGAGAGGGGCTTAATCCTTCCACCTGGAAAGGGGAAAATGAAAAATTTTGGAAAATGAAAAAAATTACTAATTTCCATTAAAAATTTTAGTGAACAGTGTTGGCGTTGGAAGGGAATTTCTTGAGCGTTTTGGAGATAGGCCAGAAGCTGATCGTCAGCTTTTTCGAGTTAATGCTTTTGGGGCTGTTGAGGTGAGGGGAATTTTTAAAAATGAATTTTAATCTTTTATTAAGTTTATTTCTGCTGTTTTGCCTTCAATGGAACGTTTTGGAGGTGGTCAAATTGTTGTTCTTTCTTCGAGTCAAGGATTTAGGCCAATTCCGTTACTTGCTGCATATTCGGCGACTAAAGTAAAATTATTATATATTTTTTAATTGAAAGGGGAATTCCTTAATTTAAATTCCAAAAAATTTAGCTTTGTCCACATTTGTTTTAGATTTTTGTTGCTACATAATCTCTTTATCATATGCTAATTTAAATTATTTTATTTTTTAAATAATTTTTCAGAACATCTCCCTTTATTTTTTTTATAATTATTTTTATTAAATTCAAAGATTAATTTAATTTTTAGTCATTCGTTTCTTTCATTTCCGAAGCTGTTGATCGAGAATATCCAACAATTTCTGTTCAATGTTTAACTCCAGCACTTGTAGCTACCAATATGACATATTATAAAGTAAATATTTGTTTTTTCTAATTAAAAATATTTTTTAATTTAAAGAAGGGCTCTTTATTTGTTGTTACACCAGAAAAATTTGCAAAACAAGCAATTGGAACTTTAGGTTTGGTAAAAATGACTAGTGGATGTTTTAACCACGAAATTCAGGTTTTGAAAAAAAGTTGAAAGGAAAAAATATTTTTTTAATTAAAGCTATTGATTCGTCATTTATTCCCTTGGAGTTTGTTAAAATATTTGGTTATGCCTATTTATTGGCATCATCGAAGAAGAATGATTAAATTACATGGAAATGTAAGAAATTTTAATTTACACCCCTAATATTTAAGCTGAAAAATAAATAAAATCGACAATTTTTTAAATTTTTAGATAAATTCAAGCAATTCATCTAAAACAAAATTTAATTCAAATACTTCACAAAGGTATTTATTTAATGACAAAATAATTCTTTTAAACAATTTTTACAAGAATTTCGAAAATTCCAACTCCAACAACCACAAATATTGGAGAAGTAACTGTTAGAAATAGAGCTTGAAGGAAAATTAAATTTAAAAAAAAAATTATTTAAAAATTAATAATTTATAAGAATTTCTTTTTATTTATTTTTAAATTTAATTCTTAATTGTCTTTTATTTTTTCAAATTTTTGTTTCAAAAATCAAAAATTTTCTTTAAAAAATTTTAAATTATTTTTTAATTTAAAAATCAGAAATTTAAAAAGAAATGGATGCTTTAGTTGCTTATGGATCTGACAGTGAAAACAGTGATTATGGAGGGGATGAATTGAGAGAGAGAAGAAGATCTAAAAGTGGAGGAAGGGATAATAATGAAGTTAAACAAAAAGAAATTGATACAAGGATGGATGATATCGATGATGATGGAAGTAAAGCACCTCGACAACATGCTGCAGCTGATATAGGTAGTTGATAAATGATTTTAAAAATATTTATTGATTTTGTTTGAAATTAAAAGTGTTTAAGGAGATTAAATTCTAAAGAGGGATGGGCAGGAATAAATAAATTGGCAATATTAACCACTAACATTAAACAAGATTGGAGGGTATCTGTGTTATTTAGAAGAATATTTATTCCTTTGATAAGCCTAATTTTTTCTAAATCCAACGGGAAATTGTGAATGTCGAAACTTTTTGACCAAAAAATTATTTTTTTTATTAAGAATTGAAATGATTAAATTTTGTTTTCTCAACATTCAATAAATAATTAAATTTTATTTTTGAAGATAGTAGTGATACAGAATTTGACGGCCCTGCAAGAGAGGATGGGGAAGATTCTGAAGATGAAAATGAAGATATTATGGAACAGGAAGATGAGGGAAATGAAACAGAAGAATTTGTGTTAAGTGGAATTCCAAAACATTTACTTTCGGCAGACCCCCAAACTTCAATAGCTGGGGCCTCAACACCGGGAGGGGCTGCTGGTTATACCCCACGTGCACTCCCACCTGAAGAAGAAGCTGCTTTGTTGGCAGCTGATGAAAAGCAATTTACAGATCAACAACAGGCAGCAATTGGTGTTCAAGTACCTCCATCACCCCCTGGGGGATGTTCGCCTACTTTAATGGTTCGGTGACATTTTGAATTACTTTTGATATTTGATTTTAAAAAAAATTTCAGAGAAAATTTGCCGGTTTTTTTGAAAGAAAAGAGCATGGATTAAATATGAATGCAATGATTAAAGGCCGTCGGGATTTTAATAATCCTTCACTTTATGAAACTTTGGTAGATACTTTTGGTATTGACGAGAAAGGAACTAATTTTTCATCTGAAGTGTTTGACCCTAGAGCTTTTCGGCCAGAAGATTTTTATATAGCTTTGGGTAGGTTTTTGATAAAATAAATATGGGAAGTAGCTTTAGGTGTTGATAAGAAAATACTTAAAAAATTATCGTAGAAACTAAATACAATAGATTTCTATTAAATTAAAGGTGATCACCAAACAACGCAAGAATTAAAACGTAAACGTCACCAAAAAAAGGAATGAAACAAAAATAAATAAATAAATGAATAGTTTTTATTTCTGATTAAATATTTTTTTAATAAATTTGTTTGTCTTATGAAAAATCTTGGTTGTTTTAAGTTGAATTTTAGGGTCCATAGCTTTGTTTGCCTTCTAAAAGTGTTTTTTTTGTTATTTTAAGGAGTTTATTTCTCGGGAGATGCTTCTTTCATATTTCCTGTTTTTACTTAAACAGGTATCCTAAGGTGGAGGCAATCAGTTATTGTTTATATCCCCTTAAGTGTATTGATATATTAACTACTAGAATATCCCTATCCCCCACACAGTTTTTCTAAAAAATTTCCCCAATTTTCCCCAAATCTTCCCAAATATTTTTTTCTCCCTCAAATAATTATTTTTACCTTTCTCTCCCTCCCTTTTAAAAATCTATTAGCAATAAAGGCCAATATATTTTTTTCTCGAGAGTGACATTTATTTACTTAACGCACGCGCAACAGATCCATATATACATTTACAGATTCTCAAAAATACAAAAAATATTTATTTATGTTTAACTATCCTTATTTTTTAAAGTTTTTTTGTTTTCATTTCCTAATATTTTGTTGCTATTATTCATAAACCTAATAAAATAATTATCCAAATTTTTTAATTAATTTGTGTTCTCATTACTTTTTCCCTACTAAGAATGTTAAATGGTTTTATTTTTGAATTCTAAATTTTATCCAAATTATTTATGTCTTTAATTTTAATATCCATTATAATAAGAGTTCTCAATAAGAGAGAATATTTACCTACATATTTTTTGTATTACCTACCTCTTTATTTTTTTAATTTTCCTAAAAAACATTTTTTCACAGAAACACCAATTTTTAAGAAATTTTTTTCGAAAATAACTTTTTCTCAATTTTTTCCCAATTCTCCCCCCAAAAAATTTTTTAGCCGTCGACGATCTTCTCCATTGGCTCAAGTAACGCACTCCTTCCTCTCTCCTTTCTCTCTCATTACTTTTTTCCTTTTTTTAAATAAAGCCACTGAGCAAATATTAGAAAATATAAAGGTATATACTTCTTCTAGTCGGCTCAGCTTTCCTTTCAAAAAAATTTTTTTCGGGACTGAATTATTTGGAAGGGGGGGGGGTGGATATTTTTGTTGGTAGTTGTTGGGAGGAGGAGGGGAGGGTTTTGAAGGAAAAGACTTTTGAATAAATGGAAAAAGAATAACAGGAGCACTGGCCCTCCAAACAAAACAAAACTCGAGAAGGTGCGCGCCGTTTGTATGAGAGAATGGGAAAGGGGAGGGAAGGGGTGGGGTGAAATTTTAAGAAAGCGAGAGAGGATTTTTTGGGTATATGTTGACTTAAAAAATAAAGACAAAACAGCTAAAAACCTAAAAAAACAAGAACATTCTCTGAAAAAGGCCGTTAATGACAACATTGTTAATCAACAAAATAATAAACTCGAATCACTAAAATGTCGATAAAAATTTAAACAAAAAACTAGAAATCCAAACATTAATTTCCATAAAACGCGTACTTTTTACCCAAAAGATCAAAACTCTCCCACTCATTTTAGGCAAACTTACCTGGAAATTCTCGCAACTCAAACACAGAAGAATAAGCTTTAAATTCTCTCATCTCTTCTTTTAACCACGCCCTTCCACTTTTTATTAATTTTTATAAATTTTTGTAAACGGAATTTGTCCGTGAATTTTTTTTTATGAACTGGCAATTTTATAATAATTTATTTTAAATTTAAAAAAACCGTTTATTCGCGTTAATTTATTTTTCTATTATGATAAATTTAAAAAAATTAGAAATTTTTTTTCTAGAGCCAAAAAATTTGCTACGTCAAATAATCTGGAATTGTCTATTTCAGTTTCCCCTCATTAAACCTAAACCTTTTGGATTCAAGTTTTTAATTAAAACCTAAATTCAAACAGACGTCGATTATTTGGCGCTAATATTTTCGTTAGTAAAAACTTTTTCTTTGTTAAGATTTATCTTTTTAAAAATAATTTAAATAATAGTTAGCCTTCGAAAGATGTAAGATTTATTGATAAAGTTTGTTAATTTTAAATGCTATGGCTAAAGAAATAACTTTGGCGCTAGGTTGTTGACGCCGCATATTCTTGTCTGTAAATCTAATCCACATTCCGGTTCATGTACATATGATTTATTTCAAGAACGTATGAGACAAATTTATAGGGATTTTTAGATGTTGAAAAGCGGGACTTATTACTTTTAGTATTAGTAAGTGTACTGTAGACAAAAGTTTTCAGTTTTTGATTTTCGATACAAAATTTAATTGATATTTTTTGTTTTTTTGATAATTTTCGCCTTAAATGAAAAAAATTTTTTTAATCCTTCCAGGATGCCAGATAAAATTAAGGAAATCTAGTCTCGGAAAATTAGGAAAAAAGTAAAACAAAAGCAAGATTTTCTAAATAATAATTAAATTGTCCATTCTTTCCAAAAATTAATTTCTAGTATAGGTTAACCATGTAAATTAGTAATAAATTAATAATATTTTGCGCCTTAAATGAAAAAATTAATTTTAGATCCTTCCAGGGTGCCAGATAAACTTAAGGAAGGAAACTATCTAATCAAAACTATTTAATCAATTAATCAACTTTTTAATCAAAAATTTAATTAAAAAAATTTTCTCTCAAGTCTTAGACAAGGCAAGATGTTGGCATTGCTGAATTTGTGTAATTTAAAAAATCTTTTATTTACACTTTTAAATGTATCAGCCATGCTACATTGGGCCATGCCTCGGCAAAATATTTTTAATTTAAAAAATAATTTAAAAATTAACAATCAATTTTTAATTTAATAAATTAATTTTTAATTCTTTACATTATTTATTTATTTTCTTCCTTTTTATTTTCATTAATTAATGGTTGATCTACTACACGCATATAACCCTTTCCGGAAGGAAGTTGTAATGTATTAATTGAAGAATATAATTTATTTGCCTCTTCACTGCCAACTTTTGGTTCAATCATACATGGAGAACCGTTCTAAATTTGTAATTTTTAAAAATAAATTTAAAAAAATATTTCACACGAAAATATTTAGAACATAACTTTTGAGGGGAAGGATAAACAGAATTTATTTTGATATGGAGGGGGGGGGGGGGCTAAAAAAGCTAGCTTTTAAATTCAAAAATCTAAATTATTTAATCACTCAAATCATTTAAAATTATTTTTGAATAAAAATATTACATTCCATCCTTCAGGTGTAGCCAACATATATTCATCTGAAAGCCGCATAGAGTCTAATACACGAAGTAATTCACTTTTAAAAATAATTAAATTTATAGTTTTTAAAAGAAAAGTTAATTAAGGGAGACTCAAGACAGAAAATAAATGAGAATTTTTGATTAAGTAGTAACTAAATGCAAATAAAAACAGATTTATTGAAAAATAAGAATTAATATCAAATTTTGGCTTAAAATAAACATAATTTTAAATTATTTAAAAATTCTCGAGATCGCCCCAGACATTCCGAAAATAATTGAAAAATTTAATAAAAACATTTAACAAAAAGTTTTATTTAAATATTTACTCGAAATTTCGTCCAGTACTTGCTGGATACAAAATTGAGAGGCGAAGACGTTTTTGTGGATCAATGAAGAAAACGGCTCTAACAGTTAAAGGTATTCCAGAAATAGAATCCAAATTGAGTGGATCAAGCATTCCTAATTTTGTAGCCAAATGACGATTTTCATCAGCAATTATTGGAAAAGGAAAGTTGTCTACTGGAAAAGAAAAAAAATTGTTAAATTATTTTAAATTATTTGGTTTGTTCACTTGAAAACCGCCCCAAAACCTTTAACATTATGTTGGGAAGTTTCACTCTTTTGCGAAACTCCGAGTTTTTGGGAAACTCAAATTTGAAGATTTATTCACAGAAAAACAATGAATGGAAGAAAGATTAATTAAAGAATAAAATTTATGAAAAAAAAGTAATGAAGATGTTAAGAAAACAAATTATATTACCGAAAATTAAAGTTTTAATTAAAGTTTTACTATAAAAAGCAAATTCAAGCATTCTACAATCAACACCGCCAATCGCCATTAAGTTTTCTCAACTAGCCCGTCTACTGCTACAACGTTTCCTGCTTGACCGATGCTCTCTTTGTCGCCAGAAGGAGATCTGTTCCTGCTCTTCTTGACTGTTTTAGTTGCTGGCCTGCTACTCCCGATTAGCTGTTGCAAGAAGAAGAAAAGAATGGCTGATAAACGGTATGTTTAAGCCTTAGTCTTTTTCTTTAATTATTTATAACGTTTAACTTATAGGGCAAGTGACGAATCGACTCCTAGCCCTACGATTGCACAGACGACAATGAAAACAAAATCTCCAAAATCATCATCTCTAAAAGTGAAAGGCAAGAAGTCTAAAGGCAGCAAGAAAGAGCGCAGAAGCAAGAAAGGCGATGATGCAGAGGATGATGACGACGACGAACCAATAATTCAAGCTGCTTTCGGCGTTGTAAGTTTGAGAAATGATTAGATTATATAATCCTTCAATTAAATTTATAGGAAGTTCCCCCGACAATGGAGGTGGATAGCGGTATTGAAAGGAATTCCAAAGGCATTGAAAGGAAGTCTAAAGCTTCCGCACCAGTGAAAAGTGCTATTCAAGCTCCAAAGAGTGTTAAACCACCCCAAGGACAACAAGGCGCTGTTAAAACTGCTTACAAACACGTCGCTAAAACATCCGATAGGCCGTCGATGGAGTCTCCGAAGGCAGAAAATAAAACACCAACAAAAAGTAAAATGAAAAGTGCACCGGAGCGATCAGTAAAGAAGACGCCAAAGAAGTCAATGATCGACAAGCCGAAGGAAGCCATCGACAAGAAAACGCCTAAAGTTTCGTCGGATCCGAAAGGGAAAAGTAAGAAAACATTTTAAAATAAATTAAATAATTTTAAAATTTCAGCATCAGCAGTAAAGGATGCAAGACAGCAGCAGCCTACTCCACCTCCGTCAAAGGACAAACCCGCCAAAAGCAAAAAAGAGGAGAAGAAACCAACGCCTCGGAAGAGTGAAAAGGAAGAGGAGTCTGCAGCAAAAGATTCTTCTGGAGCAGAAAGTGAAAAGAAGACTGACTCTAAAGAGGCTGCGGAAGGAGAAAAAACGAGGGAACCTGCCATCAGTGCAAAAAGCGAGAAAGGAGATGAGGATGATGATTTGGAGGACGAGGATGAAGAGAAGGAAAGTGGCAAAGGCAAGAAGAAGAAAAGGGAAGAAGAAAGTGGACGAGACGAGAAGAAAGGAGAGGAAGAAAGCAGCAAGAAGAAGGAGGAGGAAGGAGGTGGAAGTGAAGCTCAAACAAAGAAGGCAGAAGAAAGTGAAGTAACAGAAGATGCTGATGCCGCTGCTCCAAAGGAAGAGGAAGAAGCTGATTGATAAAAGAATAAAAATAAATATATTAAAATATTGATGTTCATTCATTGTATTGTGTTTGTGTTGATATATACCTCTATATACTTAACTCTAAATTAATTTCGCCCTAATCCTTATGTGTGATATAATCATTTTGTGTCATTATTGTCATTGTTGTTGTATATAAAATTAGGTATTCTTATGTTAGTTTGTCTATTAGAGAACCAACTTTTAAAATAAATATACTAACGGAAAGATACCCCAGAAATCATCAAGGGCGTAGCCAGGGGGCTTCTGGGGGCAAATTCAAAACCCCAATTTTAGCCCTCCCCCTCCCACTGTCTACGCCTCAAAAAAATATAATTAATTTCCTTTAAAAACAAACTAACCATTTAAATTATTTTCTGCATCTTTAAAGTGTTGTTTTTGTCCAATCTTTCCATAATATTTATTATTATATTCAATTATATCATTCAACCAAGATAAATGTGATTGGACAGAATTACAACTCAAAGCAATTAATTTTGTATTTCGGCTAGCAAATTCTGTTGATAATTGAGCGGCACGTGCTAATTCTGTTGTGCTTAAAAAGAATAAATGATCGGTAAAAAATAAATAAACTAACCAAACTGGAGTAAAGTCACTTGGATGAGAAAATAAAATTGCCCAACTAAAAAAGAATAATAATTTTAAAAAAAATAAAAAAGAAAATACTTTTCTCCTATCCAATTATGAAAACTTTCAATTCTTCCAAAACTTGTATCAGCAGAAAAATCAGGAAATTGATTACCAAGTAATAACATTTAAATAAATTTTTAGTCTAAAAATATTTTTTTTTAAATTAAAATTAAATATTTAAAAAAATAATTATTGCAAAAACAAAAAAAATTCTCAAAAATTTTGTTTAAAAATATTTTATTTAATTAATAAAAGTCAACAATCACCAAGAATTTGTATTTAAAAAAGAACCGATATGCATAGAAAATATACAATCGAACAAAACAAAATGTAATTTTTACGACCTTTTAAAACAAATAAAAATAATTCCCAAATCAAAACTACCCAAAATCTGAAATTTTGTAAATTGCCTAGTAAGGCCTATCAGTTAAAAAGAGAAAATTGTAAACGGAAAGTTGTAGTGGGGGTAATCAAAAAATCTCAGGCATTTACAACGAATAGAGAAATATAAAGAAAATAATTTTTCAAAAAAAAAATTTTTTTTTAATATATTTTTCAAAAATTTTTTCTCAAAATTTGTCTACAATAAACATTTAAGGATACTTTTATTTCATAAATATACTCAATCCAAGTCAATGTCACTAACTCCTTGTCCAGTCTGATTTATTTGTTGTTCTCCGGTCATTTCTTTATTCAATGAATGAGAAGTTCCAGATGTTGATTGCATTTTGCGATTGATCTAAAACATCAAAATTAAAAATATTTTAGAAAATAAAGTTTGTTAGAAACGAGAGACACCATAAAAATTTAAAAAATTAGTTTAGAAAGGTTCCGGTAATAAGAAATAAAAATTAATTTAAAAAAAATCAAAAACCTCTTTAACCAACCAATCAGCAGCTTTATTCAATCTCTCTGCCTGTTGATTCCGTCCTTCATTTTCCAAAACTTTTGCAAAACGTTGCTGTAATAAAACAACAGAATTCAACAAATCTGGACATCCACCAGTATTTTTTAATGCCCAATCCAATGTTTTATTTAAAAAAGGTGTTCGTCGATCTTTAGGTAAAGATTTATCGGAGTCAAAGGTCTCTGAGTCTTTGTCGTCACTATTAATTTCCTCTCCTTCCAATTTGCCTGGCAATTTGGTGAAAAGCTTAAAAATATTAAGGGGTATGTTTTATTAAATAAATTTTTTCAAAGAAGGCAGAAAATCTTCAAGGGTGACACCCTCGAAGTGTAAAAACAAAACAAGTTAAGGACAAGCCCAAAAAATGTAGAAATGTTTGGAACAATTTTTTGAAAAAAATATAAAAACCTTAACAAGTTTGTCAGATTTATCTTCCACAAGTTGACGTGCAGTACTCTTACAAGTGTCCACATAAAGTTCAGCAAGGTCAATAGCACTCGAAAATTCATTTTCTAAAATAATTTTTATATAAAATAAAAATTCAAAATAAAAACCTTTACAAAAAGTCAAACAACAATTATAAATTAATTCAAGTAATTCTTCAACATTTGCTTCAGAATTTGGGTCATTCACGTTAATCTGTTTTTGAAGCATTCGAGTTTGCAATGTTCGAATAATTTGATGAGCATCATAAAATCGTCGTTGAGAAAGAGCATTTTCTAGACGTGATTGAAGTTTGGTAATCTAATAAAAAATAAATTTAGAAAATATAAGAATCTAGTTAAAATAACAAGAAACCCCAAGTAAATGATGGAAGTCAAAAACTAAAATTCTCCCCATCGCTAAGCTCTAGGTGAACTATCCTTACAAAAAAAACTTTAAAATTATTTTTTGACTAGAGTTCGATTCACTAAGAAAAAACCATACTTGATTCTGAACAGAGTTATTCGAAAGCAAAGCCATTAAACACTTTAAAGGATTTCACTGTCAAAAAATTTTTCCAATATTTTTCTAAAAATGAAGATTCTTTCAAAATAATTAAAAATATTTTAAAAAACACTTGATTTAATAAAATTCAAAGTTTATCTTGAAATATTTATTGTTTTAAATAAAAAATATCGAAATGTTCAAAAAATCAAAATTCAACAACTTAATTTAAATGAGGGGAGATCTAAAAGTGAAACGAATTAAATATTGAGAAAAAAGAACGATTTTAATAATCTTATTGTTTCCAAAAAAATATGGAGCAAAGGAATATATCGAAAAGAAAATTTTCTTTTATTCAAAAAATGCTTTATCCTTGCCAAATGAAACAAATCTTGACATTTTTAAATGTCTCAACTATAAACAATTATATTCAATCAAACAAATAAATGAATTGTTTTTCTCAATATTTAATTATTTGAATGAATATAATTGTTTATAGTTGAGACATTTAAAAATGTCAAAATTCGTTTCACTGGCAAGGAATAAAGCATTTTTTGAAAAAAATTAGCCCTCTGTATCAATCAGTGCAAAATAAAGTGGCCATCCCAGAACCAATAACTCTATTTTGTTAGAAGGGCATCTGTTTTTCTCAATATTTAATTCTGAAAATTTATTTTTCAACAAAAGTTAAGTTTAAACATGAACATATCGTAAAAAATCAAAAAATCAACATAAATTAACTTCGCAAAAATTTCCTTCAATTCAAGCACGGAATGGCATCCCACCACGAGGAATTCCTCCACCACGTCCACGCCCTCCACGTGGAGGACCACCACGGAAAGCAGTTCCACGTCCACGTGGTGCTCCACCAGCACCCATTCCCTGACTGCCACGTTGAGCACGACCGATATTCTAAAAAGAATTTTTGAATTATTTATTTATACTAAAGGGATCCAAGAAGGGCCTCTTACAAGTAAAATATAAATACAGCGCAACATCAAAACAATTCTTTCTTCCATTAAACTTTAAATCAAAACCTTAAACATTGGAGCATTCTTAAGCATATCAGGCAAAATCATAAAACGAATTTGCGATCCACGAATAAAAACGTTTTCGAGTGTTTGAGTTCGCCCATCTCGAAGAGTAACAGTAACTTCGGCCATTTGGCAATTCATGTTATCTTCAGCCTCGACAAGTTTCCCGCGATAGACTTCTCCTAGAAATTAAGAAAATATTTTCATTCTTTAAATTTTTAAAAACCGATAGTCGTTTCCAACGTAATAACATGCCCTTCGGCTTCGTGTAAAACTTTAATTGGCACTCCGACAGCAGTCATTTTTCCAAAATTTGTTTTAGCACAAGGTGTGCAATTTAATAAAATAAGATACTGAAAAATAAATATAATATTTTTACATAAGGTGGAGAGCAAACAGTCCGGAAACCCAGGGACAAAACAAAAATTAAGGGGAAAATAGAATAAATATTCTAAATAAATCTATTAACCTCCACAATTTCTAGAAGCTAGCCCGAAAATATTTTTGGTAAAAGGAATCTCCAAATGTTCGCTCTTATTAAAAATTTAAAAAGTAATCGTGGAACTAAATAATCCATTAAAAAATAGCTAAAAATAATTTCAAAACATTTATTCTGTCTTGATTGCATATGAGAAAAAATCGAGGACAATATTACAAGATGAATTTTAAAAAAAAGTAATGTTATCGCAGTACTTAAATGAAGCAAACCATCTACGATTTTTTACAATTTAATATACAAAGGCAATATTCAAGTTTACTATGAAAAAATCTAGAGATGGAGAGAAAATCTTACCTTCCATTAATCAATACATTCTTTTAATAATTTTAAACTCAATTCTAGAAAAAAACAGGTAAACAAAAGTAAACTTGAATATTGCCAAAATCAAAATAATCGAGACATAAGTAATTACATAAGTGCTACATGTGACAAAAATGTTTTTGAAAGAATAATATGTTTAAAAAATATATTTTAACTTTATTTTGGTATTTTTAAATTTGGTTACAAAAACATTTTAAAGGGGCCAAAGTCGAATATGGTCGTTGAGAACGTAGAGTATTCATATATTTAGGAAATACGATTAAGAGTAATTAAAAGCTACATTAAGAAAAGCATAGCTGCTCACCTGCACCCTTTAAATTTCAAAAAATCATCTCAAAATAGTTATTTTTGCAATTTCACAAAATTCCATTTTTATTTAAATTTTTTCGAGACCTTGTCGGATTTATTTGTTATTGTTGTTGTAGTTGATGGCGTTGTTGAAAGTGAAGACAAATCAAATATACCACTTCCAGAAGTATGAGTAAATGCAGAAAGCAATGCAGAATCAACAGGTTCCATGCAAGATGGACAGGTAAATGAACGAAGAAGCCAATCTTTAATAAAAGTTAAAATAGACGTAAAATGGATCGTGACAGAATTACAGAAGTACAAGGAAAATATAAACAATCGTGGAATATATAATCATAGAATATATAATTGTGGAAAATCCCAAATAGTTAACTATTATAGCAATTCCTAACAAAGATCTCGCCAGCTTTTATATCTAAACACCAGGCAAGGCAAATCTATACCCAGGCTGATCTAAACCAATCCACAAATATTTAGGTTGATATTAAAATTTAAAACTAACTATCAATACACTGCAAATGGTAAGAATGCAAACAAGGCAAGAATCGAATAGGATCTCCAGGTTGGAAATCACCCATACAAATTGCACATTCCGAGTCGCCCTTTCCATCTTCAATAAACATATCGACCGGAATTTGCTCTAAAAGGCAGCGGACACGGGCCTAAAATCAAAATAATGTTTAAATTAAAACCCGAACGAAAAGAACCTTTCGTTTTTCATCTAAAGCTTTCATTTCCGCCGCATTTGCTTCATCGCCACCAGTTCCAAAGGCAGAATTCATGTAAAGCTGGTTGACATAAGAGCTCTATTAATTAAAAAGAAAAATATTTTAGATTATACAAAAAATAACCGTCTGCATGTTTCGATGTAAACGACTCCTTTCAGAACCACTTGAAGCCGATGATGAGGAAATACCCCCAGAAGAACCGCGTGAAGAATGTGATCGCCTTCCATTCCCTACAGTTTGTTGGAAAATAAAATTACTTTAAATTTCCTTTTAAATAAAAAAAACCTGAACCCGTATTTGTAGAAAGATTATCTAAACGAGTAAAATCATCACCAGCCACTCGTCGGCGTAAAAATTGTAAACAATTCCCCATTAAAGATTATTTGTATAAAGAGGTATAAAGGCAAGTGAAAAATTAGCTTTATAGAGAAGTTTAAAATAAACTTAAAAAATAGAATTAATATGTACAAGTCTTAAATTTAGAAAACAAGATACAAATCAAGTCCAACAAATCCTAGATAAAGCTTTCTTTTCAATCCTAACAATAAACATGACTGGTTTGAACATTTTTAAATTTTACATTTTGACATATTCTCCTCAAAAAACTTACAAAATACATCCCTAATTAATGTTCATTACCGGAAACTTAATCGGATTTTTCCAAGGTCAGGGTCGACTGATTTGACCTGAGAAAACTCGTTCGGATAAAGTCCGGCCCCAGCAACAGATCCAAACTGGATCCGAAACGAAAAATATTTTTTCGGAAATTGTTACTTTCTCTTATGTTAGACTAGACTGGCAAATATAAATGAAGTTAAAAAATAATTTTGTGGTTTAAACAAATTAAAAAGTATGAGAAAGTTAAGTATTTTAATCTTATTATTTTTATTCCTTTGATTTATAATTTTTAAAATCTTAAATGGAAAGCACTTTTGTTTACAGTCCCTCATAATAAAGTAATAAATTTTTGTTAAAAAAATTTTTTCTTATCTAAAAGCTGTTTTCCATTAAAAAACTTTAAAAGATTATAGTCAAAACAAAATTTAAATTAAAAACAGATCAAAAAATAATTTTTACAAAAATAATTAAAACGTTTTTCTTGCAATAATTCCTTTCCCAATTGAATCAAATTGTTGCTTTGTAACCCAAATTTTACGGAAAGTGTCCAATGAAGCTAGGATAGAACCGCCAATCCAAGTTGAATAAATACGCTCCTGTGGAGCTAAAATACGAATTTTTGCGTCTTTTGGGCCAAGTCTTCGCATCTAAAAAAAAAGAAAATAAATCTTTAGAAATAAGAGAAAATATGGTAATAGTGTCGTTTCCAGTCCCCATTTTTTCCTCCCAATTTTTTACCCTATGTTTGTACCGTACAAACATAGGGTAAAAAATTGGGAGGAAAAAATGGGGACTGGAAACGACACTATTACCGAAAATATTAATTTACTTCAGTAAGTAATCGATCCCCAAATCCTTGAAACATTGTAGATCCACCACTTAGAACAATATTTTCATACAATTTTTTGCGCAAATCAACGTCGCATTTCTGTAATTTTACAAAAAAAAATTAATTTAAAAATAATCTCACAAAAATAGCATTAGAAAGACAATGTGCCACTCCATCGCATTCCTCTCCAATCAATTCTGGTCGAAAAAGGATCTCTGGTGCCCTATAATGTGCTGCACCAATCTCTATTTTTGAGCCATCTGGGAGTGGATAAATGACCTAAAAAATATAAAAAAAAACAATTATACCTAATTAGAAGAAACCTTCGTTGTTTCACCAGCGACAGAATCTTCTTTAAGCGGAGTTGAATAAAGTTTACATTTTTGTTCTTTAATTTCCCTCACAATTTCAAATTCGCTGGTTTTGCTGAATATATGACCTTCTTTCCGCAATAATAATCTGAGATAGCGTGTCACATCACGGCCGGCAATATCAATACGTTGAATACTTAAAGAGAGTTTTTGGTAATAGTTAAACGGTCATAACTTTGTTAATTAAGTCAGATTCCAGGGAAGGGGGGCCATTTATAAATAATTAAAATATTAACCCATGTTCAATAGCAAATCCTTCAAATATTGGCACAACATGGGTAACTCCATCGCCAGAATCGAGAACTACGCCAGTTGTTCTGCCGGAAGAGTAAAGGCTGAGAACTGCCTAAAAATTCTAGTAAAATTTAAAAAAATTAAAAAGAAAACCTGAATTTGTATATAAAGAGCAGGAACATTAAAAGTCTCAAATAAGATTTCTGCAGCTTTTTCCCTGTTAGTTTGAGGATTTAATGGTGCTTCAGTTAACAAAATTGGATGTTCATTAGGTTCTGTCTGAAAAAAAGAAATAAACATTGTTCCTAACTTATTATAGAAGCTTGCTGGATTTTTAAGAATTAAGGGTCTAATCACTTAGGCAATCTAAGTATTAAAATGGAGTGTGTATCAAAAATACACCAAGAAGACCAAATTTCTAATTCAAAATAAAAGTCCAAAAAAATTAAAGATGACCCCTCAACATCAGTTCCAAAAAGTCAACAAAATTTAATATTTTTAAAAACTTATTTACCCTAAGCTGATCACTTGAATAAATATATTGCCAGATTTTTTCCATATCACTCCAATCTGTCACAATTCCATGCTCCATTGGGTATTTTAAAGCAAGAAGTCCTCTATATTCTTGAGCCTTTGGTCCTTTAAGTATTTTAATTATAAAAAATATTTTCAAAAAAAAAACCAATAAAACAGTCGCCTTCCAAAGCTCCAGCCATAACTCTTGTATGTTTTGGCCTCCCAACATAATTACCAAAAATACATTTTGGTGCATTCTCACCAGCAAAACCAGCTTTTAAAATGCCCGAACCATTGTCAATAACTACTGGTTGACTAGCAATAACTGTATTATAGTCCATAATTTATTTTTCGAATTTTTAGTCAAAATAACCTAAATTAAATAAAACACAAACAATGGAAAAACAAAAATATAAAGCTTAAAATTAGTCAAAACGAATTCTATTTTTGCGGAAAAGGACGATTCAGTACATGGCCATAACTTTCTTTATTTTCGACCAATCCGAATAATTCTCATACATATCATTCGAAAGGTCTCGAGATTCGGCATCTTTTTTATGATTAGCCCGATTTGATCTGATATCTCAAAAAAGTTAAGACGAAAAACTGATTTTTTCTGCCTGTGATAAATAAGAGGAAAAGCAGTGATTGTTGGTCACCGAGACAATTGCCGTGAGACATTTAAATATGAAAAGGTTTTCAATAATTCCTTATTTGGATTGGGCTCAAACCTTTTTCATCAAACAAATAAACTAAAAATCCTTTATTCTTAACAAATTATCAACAACAAATTATTTATTTTTAAACAACAAATGAATTTACGTAATCAAACAGAACAATTATCACATTAATTTTATCTACGTCTTATTTATCTATCGCTGCTATTTGAGGTATTAGGTACGCTGACTCCCATATATTGTTTAGGTCGTTGATTCTGAAATTGTTTAAAAAATTATTAAAATTTTCCTTTTTTCAAACCTCCCATTCCATTTGAATACCCCAGCTTAATCTACGTGCCCTCAGCATTTCAAAAAATGCGTGCTCAATTCCAACATAATCAGGCCTTTTATAGTAATCCAACGAGCGTAAATAAATTAAAATTGTTGAAAACGCGATTGGGCATCCCTTAAAAACAAACAAATTTTAAAAAGGGGAAATTCTTTTTAGTTTGTACTTACAAACATATAATGAGAATCCATTAATTGTTCTTTAAGTATCTTTGTTAGAATTCGAGTCTTGCCTTGCCATGGAAGGCGCGCTATAGCTAATTCCACCAACATATAGAGAATTGACCACAAATCGTCGTGTCTCCCGTGCTCATTTCTTTTATGGGCTAAAAATTTGAATTTTGAAAACAATTTTTTAATCTATCAGACTAACCGTTTAGGCTACAATAAGCTGGGGTTCCGCGAAATGGAACGTCTGGTCTGGGCCTCCGTAAACTCATTTCTCCTCGAGTTTTTATTGATCTTGCAAGTCCAAAGTCAAAGAGATATAGCCGTTTGTGGTTAACTTCATCAATTGCAAAATTGCTTGGCTTTATATCGCGGTGCACAAAATACGTGGAATGCATAAATGCAACAGCCTATAACCAAAAATAAATTTTCTTTCAAAAATGAATCCATTTATATTTACATACCCGGACTGCCTGTATTCCAATCTTCAGTATCGTGCCGATTGAGAATCGTCCGTTGAGTTGTTGCTTTTGTAATTCGTTCAATGATGGGCCAAGAAGTCCCATTATGAGGACACGAAATCCGCCTTGTTTTGCTGCAAATAGAACAATTTAATTTAGAAAAAAGGAACAAAAAAACATTACTTTGACAACTCCCATATTGTTGAAATTGGGCCGCGTATGGAGAAAACTGCAAGCGTTTGAGGATGTGTGCCTCGAGAGGGAGAAGCTGATCAGATCTGTCTATATTTGTACGCTCGACTTTCATTGCATAATCCTTGCCATCTTTTGAGACTACTCGGTAGACGACACCACACCCACCTAGAAGTAAAATGAGAAAACAATTAAAAAGGGTTATTTTTATTACCCGCTCCAAGTCGACTCGTGACCTTGTAGTTGCCAATTGCTTCTCCAACCACCAAATTAACAGCATTACCGTCTGAAGTGGCTTTCTCCACTGTAGGAACACGACCCCCCAAACTTTTAGCTGTTTGTTGTATTTCATTCCTTCTAGTCTCGTCAGCGTTCGCAGTTTCGAATTTGTGTTGTCCTTTGACGGGAGGTTGGTCGGGAGAAATAGCAATAGCTGTCTTCACACCCTTCTCCGTGATGTCCTTTGCCTGGTCACTCTTCTTTTTCTTTTTGCCGTATGGTGAAAGGACGTATGTCGTAACTGGAACGAGCAGCTGCAGATGGTACCATTTATTTGGTTTTTGCTCCTTTTGATCGAAAGACTTGGACTTGATGTACTTCTTGTTTGGAGTCGACTTCTTTTTTTCTTCACGAGTAGGTGATTTGTGGTCGCTTTCCCTCTTTCTGCCGCTTTTTTTCCTTCCCTCAGTTGTTCCCTTCTTCTTCCTGGCAGCTTCCTTCTTCGAGTCTGACTTCTTGCCCCTGAGACATTGTAGCAAAATCGACGTTGAGCAGGAAATGAAGATAAGCAGAGCGACAATGATTGTAGACTGCATTCGAATGATTTGGACGAAAAGGTTTTCCACTTCCTACCAGGTGCTTTTATAGTAAACCAACATACCGTATTTAACAAATACCTACTTCATTTGAGAATGTTCCCTAAATTTAAAAATCATTTTTACAATAACTGTCAATATACCTAATTAACGAACAATGATATCTTTACTTTCAATTAAATTTAACAACATTAATTTAGAGTTTAATTTAACCAATTTATTGTTTACTTAAGATGGCTGCAGCTGATTCTTGTGAAGTAATAATTTCACGTAGAAAAGATGAAGAACAACTAAAAATTATAAATCAACGTTTAGATAAACTTTTTAGACTTTGTTTCAGCGACCTAGAATATATCAAATATCAAAGATTTATATCTGCATTGAGTTACTTTATTTATTTTTCTTCTACGAATGTTTTGGGTATTTTTTTAATTTTTTATAAAAATTTCAGAAATTTCTAATTTTTAAGGTCTGCAATCTCTTGGCGAAGAATATGTTGGTTTATTACAAATAAATTCTTTCAGAAAAATACCTTCACTTGTTCAATGTTTAATTTTTGTTTTTATTGATACTTTTCTACTTCTTCCAAATATTTACCAAATTTTAAATATTTTCCCTTTTGGAATTAATTTGAAAACATTTTTGAGGTTTTTTTTAAAATTTTTTATTTAAAAAATTTTTTAAGGCTTAATTTTGTTAATATCTTAAATTCTTTTTCTGAACTGTTCAAATTTGAAGGTTATACTTTTGGTAAAAGAATTGCAGGAATTTCTTATTTAAGTATTCGTCCTCAGCAAAATAAGGTTTAAATTTTAATTGAAAAATTAGATGTGGTAATTTTGAACTTTGTATGACCCCTCTTAATTTTTCCCAAATCTATGGCAATTATACCCAGCTCTACGTGTTAAAACCTAAGGTCCGTTACTGTGCATGTTTGCCATAACTCTGGGTTAGTAGAGTTGTTTATTCCCATAAAAATTTTAGCGAATACATATAGCGAATTTTTCAAAATAGTAGAGCACATCCAGTGTTCGCATCAGTCCAATTGCAGATAATGTTTTAAATTGCTAATTATTTTCGGTGTTGATTATTCATGGTACCTCAGAACTTATTTCCATAGATTTGGCTGGGATAAAAAGGGGTCATACAAAGTTCAAAGTTACCTTACTTACAATTAGAGGTTTTTGGTGCTTATCCATTCCTTTTTTTTAATAACAAGACCGATATCTTTTCATGTTTAAGATTTCTAGCTTGAATATTATGTCCCTAAATTTAATTTTCTAAATGTCTACTTATATTCCTTGAAAAAGAGGAGATTCCCCCACTTTATATTCTATTATAAAACACTTTAAAAAGAATTTTTTCCAGTTTGCAAATATTTTTCGTCTAATTATTATAATTGCCACAATTTTTAAAACTATTACAATTTTGTTACATTTGTTTAAACAATTTAAAATGAGTTCATTGGAAAGTGAAACAAAAGAGGTTTTTATTTAATTTTATTTTTCTTAAAATAATTTTTAAAAGTTTCGTAAATGTAATATTTGTTATTCAAATAAACAACAATTATGCCTTCCATGTGGACATTTATTTTGTATTCAATGTATTCCTGATTTTATTGATGTAAATAATTTTACCACAAAATGTGCTTATTGCAGGAAATTATTTGAAGCAGATAGATTAATTCCTTTATTAATTTAATAATTTTTTTGAAAATAAATTTTTATAAAAAGGATATTTTTTGTGATTTTCATGTTAAAAGCATTGAACGATAATTATTTTTGTATATTTTCCCGTTTTTTTTAATCGAATTAAAGAATTTTGGAATTCTTCAAGTAAGTTGTTTGTTAAATGACGGAATTGAACTACGACAATTTTTATTCATTTAATAATTCTTTTCATCAAAATTATGAAGAAAATGGGATATTTACATCAAAAACACCCACCAATTTCGAAGATGGACTTTATATTTTTGATAATCAAAATTTTAATTATTCTCAACAATTTACTAGTGCTATTTCTCAACAAAAGAATTTCGAATTATCTAAAGTTTTTTTATTTTTTAAATTTAATTTTTAAAATTTATAGGAGTTTTCAATGTCCTTTTCTCCAAAAATAAATTTAGAAAATGGTGGATATTTATCTAATATACCAACCAAAAACGTTCAACCAACACCACAAAATTTAATTTGCAAAGAATGTGGAACTAGTTTTCAACAAACAGATGAGGAGGCTTATTACTCTCATTTTAACCATTGTGTTAAATCTGCTTTACAACAATACGAGAATCTGAACAGGTTTTTTCTAAAGAACTTAAATTAGTTTGGCGAGTTTTGTCTAAGCTGGATCTTATCACTTAAAAACCTTGACCATAGAAACCTCAGAAACTAAAATTCCTAGTCACTCTTAAGTTTTGTCTAAATCCAACTTGATTTTTCTTCCGACCGTGTTCCTTCTATGACTCAAGTCCATAATCTCCCCATTACCAAACCTTTATTTTTCTATTTAGTTTAAATACACAAGCATCAAAAGATAAAGAATTTCCTAAACCTGTTGTTAATTGTTCTTCACTTCCTGTTCGTGTTCAATGTAATTTATGTGGCAGAAAATTATTTCAACACAATTTGGCTGTACATAATCGTATTCATACTGGAGAAATGCCTTTCAATTGTGAATTTTGTTTTAGGCCGTTTAGGTTTTTTTTTAAATTTTATCATGTATAAATTGTGTAAGGAAGAGAAAGATCCAGCTGACTAGCATTTAAAACGCACACTAAGCGGGGGTTTAAGATTTATTAAAAGTGAAGGTGAAAGCAGTCCCGGTAGCCTGTACGTGGTGAGCGAATAACTGCCACTCCTTAATTTTGTATTTTTACAGATTATTCTATATTAAGTTGTTATCTTTATTTTTTGGAGTTAACAAGATTTTTTTATTAAAATTTATTCTTTTAAAGAACAAAATCAGCTTTAAATGTCCATTTTCGTTCACACACTGGTGAGCGTCCTTATAATTGCCCATTTTGTTGTTATGCCTGTATTACTAAACCAAATTTGAAAAGGCATATAACTAATAAACATGACAAAGCAACTGGAAGAACATTCAAATTGTGTGCTATAAGAAATTGGCGATGATAAAAAGTTTTTTTGAAAATTTTTGTTAAATTTTTGTTAATTAATTTTAATTATGTTAAATTTATTTAAATAAACTTTTTACAATTTTCGATATTTCCCGAAAAATATTTGTGTTTTTATTTAATATCTAATGCTTATTTAATTATTATTTTTAGGAGTTTTTTAATTAGAAAATTTATTTTAATGGAAGATCCTTCAAAACAACCAATTATTGGCCGTTCTTTTGAAGAGGCACGATCAAATATTGATATTTCTGGTATTAATCGTTATAATCCTACACAAGTTGCACAACTGGAATATGTTGTCCAGTTGATGATTTCTGGTATTTTTTATAAAGATTTTTGCTTTTTCGGTCATAAGTTTTTGTTATGGTGCTTATATGAACATTTTAACATTTACCCACTTGCTCACTTTTAGAAAGACATTTACCCACTTACTTTTTATTGCCATTCTTACCATAAATTGACAGATTAGTTTTTTATTTTTTTTAATTAATTTTTTAAATTTATCTTTTTCTATTTTTTAATTTTAGAAACCAAATATGACAAGGATATTCTTATGACTCTTTTGAAGCTTTACCAAGTTATTTAATTTATTTTTAATTTAAGAAATAATTTTTTCAAGTTAAATCCACATCTTTATAATGAAAAATATGTTTGTTTGGTTCTGCTCAAAACTATGACAAACTTTCCTCGAAATGATTTTGCGTTGGCAAAGTATTTGTTAGAGGCCGATAAAGTTAATTCTTTGGTTAGTTTTTTACATAGAAATTACTTTTTCTTTTTTTGGATTTAAAATTAATTTTTCTTTTTACTTTATTTTCATAGGAAGTCCGTCGCGTTATCTCGATTGGAGCTTTACTTGAATCTTGTAATTTTGTCAAATTCTGGCGTTTATTGAACGGACGTTCTAAACCTTTGGACTCTTCAGACGAATCATTTTCTCAATCTAATGATATTAAGCAAATTGTTGAGTCAATTAAAGGATTTAAAGAAGCTATTAGAAATTGTTGGTTTTTTTTGTATTTTTTGGTTTGTTTTTCATTGAGGGGATCGTTTGATTCTTTGGGTTTTGAGTCATTTTGTTTCTATTTGTTTATTCACCACATGGGAAAAAGCATAACAAGAATTATTTTTTGTATCAGTTGGCAGTGGTCCCTCAAATTTCTATTTAGTAACTCTGCCCTACTTTAAGGCGAAATAAAGTCCCAATCTAAAAAATCTTCCAAGAATCTTGAATTTTTTTAATTTCTACACTATTAAAGAAATTAAAAACCATTACACCTAATTATTTTTTTACAAATTTAGATGCTTGTCAAGTAATTAGTGTTACATATCAACGTATTTACAAACAAAATTTGGTTATGTTGTTGGGAGATATTGATGGTTTCTTATAAGAAAAATATTTTTTTAATTTTTTTATTGTTTTTCAGATAAAGAGCTTGCTTTTTACGTTTCTCATTTTCGTTGGAGAAAAGTTGAAGATGAGGATGTTTATTTTATTCAAAATCATGAGGATACTATTAAAAGTCGAAATATTGAAGAAAAACTTCAATTTGAACGTATTTTTTTTATTTTTAAATTAAATAAGCTAAACTTCTCTCGTTTTTTAGAATATATTGATGTGCTTCGACCGACTTGTTGATTAATTAGGGAAATAAAATAAATTGATATTAAAAGAAATTTTTTGAATTTTATTTTTTTTTAATTTAAAATTTGTTGTTATTTGTGGAAATAAATATTTAAAAAGAATTTTTTGCCTTTATTTAAATTAATTTTAATTTATTTAAATATTTATTAAATTTATTTAACTTTTAAAACATTTTTTTTAGAAATGTCTTCAACTTCTTTAAGTACAGCCGCCTCTTCGTCTTTTACTGAAGGCGATGAAATCGGAAAGATGTTTGATATTTTGAGAGCATTTATTTCGCGTAGAAATGACCAAGACACGACAATTAGAAAATTGAGAACAATTGTGGTAGTTTAAATATTTTATTTTTTTTTGACGAGAATTTTTCTCAAAAAAATTTTTTACTAGGATGGTTCTTCGAAAAATGCATCTTTACTCTTCGATGTGCTTGTAGCTCTTCAACCTGAGTTCGATGAGGAACGCAAACGAAAAGAAGAAAATGATGTGGAGATTAGACGTTTTTTGGAGCAGCTAGGAAAGGAGGTTTTTGAATTTATAATCATTTTCTGGTTATACATATCATTTCTCGGAACCGTATCAACAATTGAAACTAATTTTTTAAAAAAAGCTAAAAAATAACAAAGCTCAAAACTTCTCTATAAAATGGCAATAAATCGTTAACCATTCTTCAAAATAGGAAAATTTTTGCTCACACATAAAAGTGCTTTTTTGTATTTTTAGAATAATTAAATTTCATTAGCTTAATTTATTTAAGATTTTGCCTTCTGAAGTTCTCTCATTGGAATTAAATGCTTTAGGGGCAGAAGAACAAGCAACAAGATCGAGAATTGTTAAAAGCAAAACAAGGATTTAGTAAGGATTTTCTTTCAATTTTTTTTCTTAATTTGTTCTTATTTTTTCAGTTATAAACAGTTAAAATTTAATTTGTTACGAGAAGAGAGTGAAGGGTATGCCAAACTTATAACAGAACTTTTACATCCTTCTTCTAAAAGTGATGAAATGATTTTAACTGTTGATTGCTTAATTGGTTTTTTTAATTAAAAAAATATTTTTTTAATTTTTTTTCGCTTTAGGTCAATTCAATTTGGATCCAAACAGAGTTGTTGATATTATTCTTGAATGCTTTGAATATGCCCCTAATGAATATCAACGTTTTGTACGACTTATACGTGATTTTAATGTCGATCAAAAAGATTTGTTTTCAATTTTGGCTTTGAAATTTATTTTTTGTCAGGTTTGTTTTATGTTTTCTACTTCCTTTTTCTTTCCTTTGTCTTTGTAGATAATTAGTGAAAGTCTCATTTTACGGAGAAGGTTCTTATTAAGTTCTATATCGATAAATTACATCATAGGAAATCGGTCTGTACTTACAAATAGGGTTGGACACAAACAGTCAACCGAATCTGAATCAAACCCAAGGTCAAAAACCAGGAGGTACGGTTTTCTCGGGTTTTTTAACTGTCTAATTCTAGTTATAAACTCATTTCTGTCAAATAACCCAACTCACCTTTCTAATTCTTTTAAAAATTTGAAAAAAATATTTTAACTTTAAAACATTTTTAGCGTGCAGAATACACTCCAATGTCTCTTTATCGCCTCTCTTCAATATTAGCCCAGGAAAATTTAATTGATATACTTGCAGTATTTAATTTAGCAACGCCTACACAAAAAGAAGCAATTGAAGATTGTAAAACACTAGCAGAATTAATTAGAGTTCGATCTGTCCGTGCCGAAACAATTTCTTCTAGCGGAGTTTGTTTAAAAAAAATTTTTTGTGCGGAAATTAAAAAATACCGCTTAAAAATTAATTTTTAACGCTCTAAAAACCTCCAAAAAATAACTAGGTCCTAGGCGGATTTGAACCGCCGCTGCTGGATTCAAAGTCCAGAGTGCTAACCGCTACACTATAGGACCGTTAAACGATACAATAAATTTTCTGTTTAGATACCTTTGTTTCGTTAATTATTTTATCATTTCTAGCATATTTTTAAGTCCTATTCTCGTTTCCTCCAAATAAAAAATTTGTGCTAGAAAAATAAAAGAAGGAAAAGACTATCTAAGCGATGAATTTATTTCTTCTCTCAGCGGTCCTATAGTGTAGAGGTTAGCACTCTGGACTTTGAATCCAGCAGCGGCGGTTCAAATCCGCCTAGGACCTGATAATTTTTTCGAATTCTTTTTGAATGATATAAATTAAATTGAGTTTTATTTTTTGATTTTTCATAACAAAAAATTTTTTTAAATTAATTTTTGTTAAATAAATAAATTTTTAAGGCAAGTCTTTTGGCGTCTGCCAACGATACTTTCCCAATTTCTTCAATTTTGGGGGCTAATGATTATGGACCTGAACCCTCTACAATTCCAGCTGTTTCTTTCTCTGCGGCTATTCAATGTCAACAAAATGAAGATAAAAAATTGGCTGGCTCAAAATTTGATGATGTTTGTTTTTATTTAATTAAATTTAATTTTTTTTTAATTTCTTTAAGACCGTTCTTCATACAAATCAAAAATTAGGATTACTTTGTTCTGTTCTTGAGCATGGAAATTTGGAATTGGCAAAACCATTATTTGAGCGTTTACCTGAAATATATCCCTTTGGGGTATCTCGAAGAATTGCAATGGCAGTTTCTAATATTATTGGATATAAAATTGAACCATTTTACAGAGAGTAAGAAATTAAAAATATTTTTCTTTAATTTTTATTTTTTTAAAGAAAATATTCACATTATCGAGACAATTCTTCTTTTCGAATGAAAGAAAGTTGGGAACGTTTTACTTGTCTGCCTCAAATTGTAAATATTTATTTTTATAATTTTGTAATTGACTTGGTTATAGAGGATATCTAGTGTAGTGTATAGAACCTTAATATAAGTCACACGTTAATCTTTTCGTGAAATTTTTAAAAGCTCAAAAGAAAATTAGAATTGATATAATGAATTTAAATTTAAAAAATTCTATTAAGACTAAAGATTGGAATTCTTTATTCAACGATGCGTGCACTATCGCCTTCCAATTAGGCCCATATATTGGTGCAAGACATGAAGTTTCTATTAAACTTATTCGTTTGCTTAATCTTTTCTACGATGACGTTGAAGCACAAAGTTTACCTGAACGCGAAAATTGTGAGGGCTTTTTTTGATTGTTTTTTAAAAGAAAACATGGGTTTCAATAAGAATCGTAAAATTTTGAATTTGTTTGGATTTAATTAAAATTTTAAAATAAAAGGGTTTGCTTTTTCATGAATTATATAAAAAAATAAGAAAACTTGCTCACGTAGTAGCTCCATGACTCCCTTTCCCTCCCCTCTTAAACAAAAAATTTTTAATTAAAAAATCTAATTTATTTTTAAAGTTCTAAACATTATTGTGGATTTGTGTGATTCTGTACTTGTACCTGCTGCTTCTCTTCTTGACTCTAATTTTGTTTATTGTGAGGAACTTTGGCAAATTTTGGGTCGTCTTCCTTACCAAGAAAGATATCGGTGAGCCAATTAATTAATTAAAAGAAAATTTTTTTAATTAAAAGAATTTATCATCGTTGGCGTACAATACATACTCAACGTTGTTGGGAATTAAGTCTTCAAAGAGGAAAGGTTTTGGGAATGACAAGATATATAATGAAGCGATTGAGTAAAGATACTGCTAAAGTAATGGGTAGACAATTGGGAAAGTGAGTCGAATAAAAAATTAAAAAAAATTTTTAAATAAAATTTTTAAAGATTATGCCATTCATATCCAACAATTCCTTTGGATTATTTACTTGGAAAAGTACAAGAATTCCAAAATTTTATTGGTCCAGTTGTTGATTCTATTCGTTTTCTTTCTTCGCTCGAATTTGACGTTCTTGCATGTTTGTATTTTTAAATCTTTAAATAAATAAATTTATTTTTTAGATTGCCTCATCGAAAATTTGGCAGCGCCAGAAAAACAAGATTTTAAAGTTTTGGATATTTCCTACTCCCCATGGCTTCAATCTTTGGCAAGCTTTTCAGCTGCAATTTTTAAGCGTTACAATATTGACCTTGGAGGCATTCTTCAATATATAACTAATCAATTAAAGGATGCTAAAAAGTGAGGAATTACCTAATTTAATAAAAAAATTTTTTCTAAAAGTTTGGATTTAATTGTATTACGTGAAATTGTCACAAGCATTTCTGGAATTGAATCAGCTTCTGATTTGACACAAGAACATTTGGATTCACTATGTGGGGGAGATATACTTCGAAGCGAAGTAATTAAAAAAAATTTTTTTAATTTTGTTCTTTTTCAAGGCAAGCTCTCTCCAAATGAATAAATTAAATCGTCGTTCAATAAATCGTCTTCGTGATGCTTTGTTAAAAGATGGATTATTTGAATCACTTTGCATTCTTATTGGACAACAAAGGCAATTTATTGTGTTTCGTGATTCTGCTGAATATCCATTGAAATTGGCTACACAAATGCTTGATCAGGTAATTATTTTTAAATATTTTTGGGACGTGAATTAAATATTAATTTTATTTGTGGACTCACCTATTTTGATTAGATCCGTTTTTCCTATCTGTTCCACATTTCTCAGTCCGGATGTTTATCTAGCCTAGCTTTAATTTATCTGTCTTTTTCCAGTGCCAGGAAACTTTCGTTCAATTTTTCCACTTTCTTCGCACAAATCTAAAACCAGAGCAATATTCTAAACGACTACCTTCAGCTCTAGAGCTTTTAACAGATTATCATCTTTCTGTTGATGCAATGTTTTGTCTGATGCGCCCTGTTTATATGAATGAAATTGGGGTAATTATTTGTTTTTTTATTATTAGGGATCGTGAAGGAGTTAATTTTAAAAATTATCTTTGCCCTTTATTTTGATTTATTTGTTTCTACTGCAACTATATTAATTTTTTTTAAATTTTTTAGACATCTTATGAATCAGCTAAACAAAAATATAAAGAAGAACACGAGGATATAACATCGTTAGACAACGCTCAAAAATCTCTCATTTACAGAGAAATATTTATTAATCGTTTGGATACGTTAAGTGAGGAATTGGCTAAAGCATTTCCTCAAACAATGTGGCAGGATATTACCTATAGGTTGGAAGTTTATCATTCAAATAATTATAGGTATAACCTCTGTTAGGAATGTAAAAATTTAATGTACCTTTAATTCTATTCAAAAAAATTATTTATAGATTGCACACAATTTTCTGGCTTCTCTCAGTGAATGACTTAATTGTTCCCGAAGCAGCATATGAACGAAATATTGAGAAAATTCATAAAGAATTAAAAGAACTACATCAAGTCAGTAGTGATTCTGGGCTATTAGGAATTCGTGGAGGAGCAGCTACACTTAGACGGACAGCCAAAGAAGAAGAGAGGCTTAAATCATTGGAGCTTAAATTGAATGAGGAAAAGAAAAGGTTTTTAATTTTTAATATTTTTTGGAAGGTCTAAAAAGGTTATGGATTATACTTGGAGACGAATTTCTAAAATTTAGTTTTTGTGATTAATTAACAATTCTTTTTTCAGACAATTAGAACACAAAGCCAGAATTTTGGATATTCTATCAGATGAGGATATCAAAAAGAATTTCTTTGCAAAATCTTTGCCAAGTTGTTTTTTTAAATTTTATTTTCTTAATTTTTTATTCAAAATAGACAAATCGAGCCAAACACTTCGTTTTCTTCAAAGTTGTATATTTCCACGTGTTATTTGTTCTGAAGTTGATGCTGTTTATTGTGCCGAGCTAGTGCGGGCGTTACACATTACAAAAACAAATGATTTCCAGACAATCGTTCTTTTTGACAAAGTAATTTTAAATTTCTTTTAATTTTCCTTAAGCTTGAAAAATTTTTGAATTTATTTTCATCTGAATTTCTAATATTATTTTTTAATTTACGAATAATTAGCATAAGTATAGTATTTTCGGACAAATTTATTTTCTTCAGTAAAACTAATAATTTTTATTTTTCAAAGATATTCACAGACGTTTCTCCAATTCTTGGTGGTTTTTCTGAACGTGAAACTGTTTGTTTTGGCCGTTTTTGTTGTATTTTATTGGAATTAATACTTCATTGGCATTCAAGCAAAAATGTTTTCCAAGAAGAGTGTGAGGGCTTTCCTGGCTGTGTTACAAAAATTAGAAAAAAAGATATGGATGATAAAGCTGCGGCAGATGCTTTTACTTATGAATTTTATCGTTCTATTTGTTACAAGTGGATGATTAGATTAACAAAGGTAAAAATAAAAATATTTTAAAATCAGAATTTATTCTGGAAAAAATTTCTGAAAAAATCAGAATTATTGTTCATATGGGAAAGCTTTATTTATATTTTAAAATAAAATTTTAGTCTAGTCAGAATTTTCTGATTTTTTTAAAACAAAGTTTTGTCTTATTAAATAATTCTAAATTTTTTAAATTTTTTATTTAATTATATTTTCTCTTCAATTTTATTTTTTAGTCTCTTTCCTTTATGTTGCAACAAACAAATTATATTCTGATTAGAAATTCTCTTACCTTCATGTTGATGGTATTTAAATAAATTAAAAAAAACAATTTTTCCTTTATTTTTCAGATATTGCCAACATATCCATTATTAACTCAATTAGACGCAAATATACAAAAAAACGTCGCTGCGTGTCGGGATAGAGAAAAAACCAACCGTCAAGATTTAAATTTATTATGTACCAGTTTTCTTATAAATTTAAAAAAACGAAATGAAGGATTTAAAAATGGTGGAAGTAGAAGGCTGTATGAGATTAATGAATTCTGTAGTGTGGTAAATAAATTATTTTTTTGAATAAAGGAAAAATAATATTTTTAACAGAAGGCTACTAAATCAAGCTCTTCTACAAACGGAACAACCCGAAAACAGCCAGTAACAGCACATAATTCTGGTATTTTTTAAAAGATTTTTTGTGGTTAGTTCCTTAAATAAATGAGAATTTAATTTTTTTTCTCGGGCTTATTTAAATTCTTTTGACATAAATCGGTGGGTGAGATTCTGATTATTTTCGAGGGGTTTTTTGCCTTCCGTTTCCCCACGTGTGTTTTTAAACTTTTATTTTTCTTTTTGAGTTCATTTTCCTTTATACAATTTTTTGATATTTTTTTGTTCGAAAATAAGTTTCTTTTAAAGAGCTCAAATTCTCTCCTTTATCATTTCTTTTCTCTGAGAAATGAGAAGGTTTTAAAGTATCCTTTTAATAAAATTATTTAAATTTTTTAGAAGTTAAAGAAGAGTTAAGAGATGAATCAGCAAATTCCTCTCCCACACCACCAACCTCTTCAAAACGTGATACTTCACAACCAACACCTGCCAAACGTAGCCGTCCATTAATTAGAAGTAAATTAAAATTTTCTAATTTTTTAATTACGCAATGTGATTGTGTACTAATTTTTACTAGTATTTTCTAGGGTGGTTTTGTCGGCATTGAATTTTTAGAAGGAAATAAAATTTCAAAAAAATATTTTTCTATTAAAATATTCACATTTACTTTTCTTTAAAATAGAGATTCAATGCCGACAAAAAAAGCTTAATTTTACTTCTAAAAATTGAAATTTTTTGTAGGTGGAAAGTAGAGAAAATCAAGCAAAATTGAATGAAGGAATTTAAAAAAAAATCAAAATAATTCATCAGGCATTCTTTTATTTTAAATAGATTTTTTTTAAATTTTATTTGTTTCTAAATAATAATAGAAAAATAATTTTTGTTGATCTTTCCTCCTAATTGAAGATTTTTTCTCCAGAAATCCCCTCCCCCTAAATTTATTACCTTTTAAATAACTTTGTAAAAAATCTTCAAAAAATTTTTCTTTCCCAGGGAGGAATGTTTAAAAATCTTTTTTTTTGTTTACCTTTCTTTGAGTAAACATACAATTTACTCTATCAATTATCGAATAATTTTTGTATATTTAATTGTTAAAAGAATTTTTTATCATAAAATATTTAACATACTAGAATTTGAGACAAAATGTTGCAAAAATAATTTTTATTTGGAATCTAAATTAACTAAATTTTAAATTTTCAATTAATTAATTAATTATAATCAATATTAAAGTAAAAATAAACAAAAATTCAACACACTTTCGATCGTTCTTTTTCGCTCATTTGTTTTTGTGTTTTACATAAATGTGAAAAAGTAGCAGGGAAAGTGTTCTCTTACTTGTCTCGTTCTAATATTTATTTATAATTTAGTTTTTATCTTATGATTATTTTTATTTTTAGGGACTTTTTGATTAGAAAATTTTTTGTTAACTTCCATAATATTTATTAAAATTATTGATTAAATGCATAGTTTTTCTTGCAGTTTTTTGGGTGAACGGATCTGTTTTTTGTTATTTTATGAGGCGAGTTGGATTTAAATCTTTTTGTTGTATTTGTTTTTGTTAGAAATTTATATTTTTAATTTAAAGCAAAAATTTATTTAATTATTTAGATTTTTAAAAGATTAAAAAAAATATTTTATTTTCTCTCCAATGTTTTTAAATGATTCATCACTGTCAAACAAACCTTCAACAACTTCAACAAATATTTCTTCAAATTTAATAGATATGGATGCTATGTTGGATCAGGTTTTAAAAATTTTTTTAATCCTTTGGTTAAAAATGTCTAATATTAAATCATTCGGGATATTTTTTAGGAAATGAATTTTGTGGGTTTTAGTTTTCTTTAAACCTTTTAAGTGATTTTTGGATTATTTTTTTAAATTTATAGTTGGAAAAAGAAGAATCTGATCAAAAAGCAGAACAAAGCAAAAATAATTCCGATTTGTCTAATAAAAATTTGGAGAATGTCACAGACAATTTTGATGAAAAGTTGGTTGGGGAGGAAAATGAGAATGTTTTTTGTACTGTTGATATTGAACTAAAAGGTTTTTATTTAATTTTTTTTATTTATTTAAATACACCAACTAGATTGCCAAAAAATTGTTTAACAAATTTTTTAAAAAATTAATTTTAGCCGACAAAAATCAACTAATTTTGGAGAAGACATTACCTGATTTAGCTTTCGCGTCCATTTCAGTAAACTATATTTTTGTTTTTTTTTTAAATATTTTTATTTCAGAAAACACTCAAAATTAGTGTTGAAAACAAAAAAGAAAATTGTGAAGATTTAGAAGAAGATATTTATGAGCAAATTGATAAAATGGATAAATTAATTAAATTGGAGGAGGAAAAAGAAAAGGAAGGATTTACTGAAGAAAATGAAGATAAATCGAATTTATTGGAAAATGAGAGTAAAGGTTTTTTTAAATTTTTTAATTTAAAATTAAATTAATTTTTAGACAATATAGAGGGAAATAAAGGAGGGGAAAATTCTCCTTTTATTTTATTCTTGAATACTTTTGTGGATGATATTTTTGGTATTTTTATTTAAATTTAAAAAATCTTTAGAATTTTTCTTATTTAGATCAAGTTTTAAATGAAATAAAACAAAAAGATGAAGAGGAAAAAGAAAATGAAGAGGATTGTGTAGAGCAAAATGATGAAAGTAAATGGCCTTCTATGGAAGAAAAAGTGCATTATCCAAACCCTGCTAAAGGTTTTTTAAATTTTTTAACATTTAACAAATTAATGATTTTTATTTCCAAACATTTCGTAGTTTTAATAGCACAGAGTTAACTTTCCAAAACATCATTTGATTTTATTAATTTATCCTCTGGATACTTAAACATAGTATTTTGTTTTTCCCTTAGTTTTTTAAATCTTGAATTAAAGAATTTTGAAATTTAGCGTATATTTAGGGAGGATTTATAATTCTAAATGCTAAAAGGTCTTCACCTAATTTAATATAACCACGCAAAATTTTCTTTAATTTTAATTTTTAAAGACGAGAGAATAAAAAGGCTAAAAGAACTCACAGCTTTAATACCTCCACCATTAGCTACTTACCATTATTTGTCGAAATCAATTGGAGAATTTAAATTAACAGAAAGCGAATTAACTTTGGGAAAGAAAAAGCCTTTTTGGATACCTGACGATGATTGTGATTGTTGTATGTTGTGTTCTAAAGGTTTTTCTATTGTTGTTAGAAGGCATCATTGTAGAGCTTGTGGAAGGGTTTGTTCTTTAATTTTATTTTTGTAGAGAGGGAAGGGGAAAAGGAGAATAAATTTTGCAGGGAAAATTAATTAAGTTTAATTTCTTTCTGGTTAAACTTGGTAGAAAACACCTAAGAAAGAATTTAAAATATTCCTGAATAAAAAATTGTCTCTATTTTTTCTTCAAATTATTTCTTAAAATTTTAGGTTCTTTGCAGTTCTTGTTGTTCCAATAAACGTTCATTAGCTTATGATGACAATCCTTCAAATAAACACAGAGTTTGTACTCCTTGTAATCGAACACTTGATAGAATTGAGGAATACGAAAAAAGATTAAATGAAAATTTAGAAGAGGAAATTGATGGGCCTTCAACTTCTAATGGTAAAAGGAAATAAATTTTTGGTTTTTAAAATTTTCAGAGAATTTATTTTGAAATTATTTTTTTTATTCCCTTTAGCCTTTCCATCAACTAACCAATTAAATTCTAGCAATGATGACCAAAATAAAAAATTAGAACAAGAAAATTTAATAAATAAAAATCCAAAGAAATCACTTTTGAAGCCTCCAAGACGGGATTCTATTGATATTTTAAATAAAAATAAAGAGGAAAAGGAAGTTGAAATAAACAATAATGAAGACAAAGAAGAAGAGGAAGGAGGGGAAGTTTTGGAAGAAGAAGGAAAAAATAAAAAAGAAAATTTAAATGAAGAATGCTCAAAACTACCAACTACATCAACGAGTAAATTAATTGAAGAGGAAGAAAATAGTACAAATAAAAAAAGTGTAAAATTCCGTGATGGAGTACATCCTGGACAGGGAGTTGAAACTTCTTCTAAAAGAAGAAAAATCATTAAACCTTATGGAAAAGACAAAGATCAGAATTTAAAACAACCAACAACAGAAAGGTGTGTTTTTGTTTGTTAATTTTTAAATGTTCGGAAAGAGTTCTGGTTTTGTTTCGGGGGGTTTTCGTTGTTTTTTCAGAATTTATTATTTATAAAAATTCTGAAATCAATTTAAAAATTCTGGTTTAATAATTTAAAACACATTCTGGTTTTATTAATGTTCTGTTTTAATTTAACTGTTCTGGTTTACTGAATATTTTTTAATTACAAAAACCAAAATTTTTGTTTAAATTCTGGTTTAATTTTTTGTATTTATTATATGTACAACATTCTGATTTAAATTTATTTTTTAGTTCTGAAGAGAAAAACAAAAATCAGAATAACCCCTATTCTTGGTTAATTAATAAAGAATCTAAAAATTCTGATTCTGAATCTAATAATTCTTCTAAAATACAAGAAAATGAAGAAAATTGTTCATTAAATAATGAATCTTCTTCCCCCTTCTCAACTTCTTCTGAAAATCAACAAAGTAATTCTTTACCTGAAAATGAAGTTGTTGGGTTGGAAAATAAAGTTTATAAAGTAATAATTTTTAAATTAATTTTTAATGATAAAATAAATTTTCAGAGGCCAAAAAGAATTTCTAGTCGAACAAAGGAACGGAAATTGTTGGATGAACAGGTAATTTATAAATTAAATAAATCGAATTTTGATTAATTATCTGTTTGGATTTATTTTTAAATTAGAAACCAAAAATCTTGTTCTTATTCAAATTTTAATTTTAGAAATTAGAGAAAAGGAAAGAATTTTAAATAATTTTTTTAAGACAAGTCTTCTACACATTAATCATTGGCGTGTTTGTGTAGTAACTTCTATCGCTGAAGATATGTCATTTCAAAAAATGGATAAAGTAATTGATAATTTATTAAAAGAAGATGAAGAGGAAGGAAATGAGGAGGGAAACACTAACAACAATAATAATTTGTGTGTTGTTATTGCATTGAGACGGAATTTCCATGTCAAAATTCAATTACTAAAAAATTGTGAGTTAAAAATGGATTGTAATTTATTTTAAAAATTTTATTTTTAAGTTAAAATTAATCAACAGGAAATTGAAATTCTCAATTTTACAACGTATGGAATGACAACTTTGGGTGTTGATGAATTAATGCTTGTAATTGAATTTAAAAGGGACAGATTTTCTGTTCAAGAAGTTTAATTTTGTTTTTAAAAATAATTAGTTAAAAATTTTTGTAGCAATTAGAATCAGCATTTTTCAATGTTTTGGAACAATTTGAACAAATATATCTTGATTGTTTAAATTCTTTTGATGATTTATTGGATCACCGGATGGGGATTAGAAAGTTGGTAATTAATTGTTAATTGAGGGGAATTATTCTTTTTGTAATTCTGTGTCATATTAGAATTCGGAAACAAAAGCAGAAGGACTTTGATTGTTTTTTTTCTCTTGAGTTTTATCTTTCATTTCCTTTTCCCGAATTTGTGGTCACACAACAAGAGAAATTAAAATCTTTTATAAAAATTATTTATAACTATTATAGATGTAATAATCGAATCCAACGTCTTTATTATTTAAATAAACATATGAGAATATTTATGGGACACCCAACTGAAGCAATTTATTTTTATAGGCCCCAAGGATTGGATGAGGTTTTTTTTTAAATTTTATTTTTTAAAATTATTTTTTAGCATTTAAATAAATTAAATTGCCCCAAAGGCCCCTTCCTTTTGGGAGTTTTGGTACGTGAAGAAGAAATAGCTTGGGCAAGATGTGCGCCTTTAAGGTTATTATTGCGGTTGGGACAATTTAGTTTTCGTTAGTTTTTTTTATTTTTTAAAATAATTTTGAAAACTTTTTAAGAATATCCAACTCCAATTGTTAATATTATTCGTGATCAACCCTTATTTACCAAAGATGTTGTCCAATCTAGTGTTTTGAAAGTAATTAATTTTTGATAAAGATTTTAAAATTTAAATAAAAAAAGGTTTTGAATGATTTTCGTGGCTGGACATACCAAATGACTAAACTTTTTGATACTTCAATAATTGTTAAAAATAATTTAACAGAAATATTTTTACCTAAATTTGCTCGGGATGAGGTTGCTTTTTGTTAATTTAACTTTAAAAAATAATTTTTAGATTCGAACTTTGGTTGAAAGTAATCGAAATATGGTTGCTTGGTCTTTAAATGAATTGTCTTTTTTGAATCAGCAATTTGAGGTTTTTTTAATAAATTTTCGAAAAAATTTGGCAAAATTTTTTTAAAAATCTCATTGTCAGCGGACAAATATTTTATTACTCTTTAATTTTATGTAGCAGTTATGCCAAATTTTAGCATTATAGTACTAACTTTCTTGACACAACCTTTTAAAAAAATTAAATGGATTATACAATTAATTTTTAAAATTTAAAGATTGATTCTCATTTAATTTGTGAACAAAAAAATTGTGAAGATGGGCAACAACAACCACAACATTTTTGTACAACAATATTTATGAAAGAACCAAATATGGCAATTAAAGGTTTTTTTTAAATAAATTTTAATTAATTAAAATTTATTTTTAAAGCAACAAGTGCTTCTTTTGTTATTTTTGATGGGGCCCTTAAATGTGTTGGAGGAGAAAAATTTGTTGTAAATGTTGTGGAGGATGGATTAATTATTAGATTACAATCTGAATTGATGGAGGTTTTTAATTTAAAATTATATGTAGATTAATTTTGAGATTCGAATTATTATAGGAATTAAAAAACAGTCAAAAATTATTTTAAGAATATTTGTGATAACGGGAATAAGGCAAAAACAAAAGAATTTAGAATTTATTTGTCAAATCCCCTTTTTTGGGAGACGAGAAAAAATTATTTTATAGAGGTTCGAATGTCACAGTCCAAATTATTTTTCAGTCCAATTGCAATTTTGCCGGTCAAATATATTTTGGACTGTGATTTATATTTCTTAATCCCCCATTATTTAAATATTTTCAATTTTAAAAATATTTTTTAAAGGAATTGGTAAAAATCTTATTAAATAGTACCGATGAAGACAATGCTACATTTGAGGCTGTTAATTTAATCCAAATTGAGGGAGAAGAAGAAAAACAACAAAAATTAATTATTCAATATATTGAGGGAATAGAACAACAACAGCAACAAATAATTAATAATTCTGATTTTAATTTTGGTGCTTTAATTTCTCCAATTGATGGATTACATTTGGGTGGACAATTTCAATATGGGTTGGTAGGGAATAAAAATAAAAATTTTTTTTTAAATTTTGATTAATTGTTGTCTCACTGACATTAGACTATCTTCTTCTTTTTTCTGATTTTTTTAAAATTCCAGAAAGAGTAATCCAATTAGAGATAGGTATTTTCTCTTCCGGAAGTAATACTACATCCATAAATGAAAGAGAGAGACAAAAAATATATTTGTTTGTTTCTCAAGTTTTACCAAAATATAATTAAAAACAAATTTTTAAAAATAATTTTCAGACTTCAATTACAACGACAATTTAATTCAATTAATTTTTTCCAATATTCAACTGAATGGGCTATTAGATTAGCTACTGTAAATAATTTTTAATTATTTTTACGAACAATTTCTTTAGGTAATTAATATGTTACCCGGTAAATGGCCGAGTGCTTTACAACCAAGATTTTTCGATGCTTGTGAACAATTAGCTAAATTGGTTGCAATTACTTTGGAACCTTTTTTGCCTGGATTAATTGCTTTGGATCAACTGTAAGAGAAAGAAATTTTTAGAAAATAATTATTTTTTAAAGTTTTATTGCAATGAGAATACATGTAGACGAAGAAAATGTTAGTTATGAAACTAAACATTGGGATGTTATGCCTGATCAACATTTTGTTTGGACTGTAACACTTGATGAACAGGTAGAGAGGGGAAGGGAGGGGGGGTTTGAATATTCTTTTAAAATGGTCTAAATATAAATACATACACTGCTCCACATAATTATAAGTCCACCCGTTTTTTCGGGATTTTTTGACTCCCAGTGATCTAAATTTTCTGAATTCTCTCCAAGAATGTCCCTCAATTTCAGATAATTCCATTCCTCTATTCATTATGTGCTTGGGTCCCTAGCAGTTTGCGTGTTGAATTACATATGCCAATACTTTCAATTCGATCACTTCCCTCGACTTCAATTGATTTAGTTGAATTAAATAAAAGATATTGAATTTAATTAATTTTTTTTTTGTTTTTTTTTCAAATAATAATTAAATAAATATATAATTAAATAAATAAATTATTTAAAAAAAAAGAATTTTTTATTTGTTGGCGATTGATAATATAAATACATTATTACCAAAAATAAAAGAAATCCAGAAATATTTAGAGCCATTTTAAAATACCTTTATTATTATTACAAGATTACTATAAATTAACTAAATTATAAATTTATTTAAAAACAAATAATGACCAAAATAAGTCTGAATTTTGATTTTAACATTCTAATTTTTAAAAATTCCATTTACTAGATTAAAGCTATTTAAAAATATTTTTGAGAGCATTTAATTTTTCAGATTAATTCTTCGTTAATTTTAATTTTTTCGAATCCTTTTTAAATGTAAAAACTAATCTTAAAAATTTACTGGCTAAAATCCCCCTCCCCCGGCAGAGTTGTTTCGAAAGAAAAATCTTAAATAATCGGAAATCGAAATTACCTTACGTGAATACATCAAGTGCATTTACTACCCCTTACGTGAATACATCAATTCCATTTATTTACTATTTTACCATATTTAAAAAGGCATTTTTATTTATTTTTTTTCTTTCATTTTATTTTTTTACAAAAATAATTTTAAATTAATTAATTTTATTTAAATTCAACAAAACAAATGATTGTTCAATTTATTCTTTTATTATTTGTATTTTTAAATTTTTCTTTTGAAAATATTGAAAAATTAAATCAACAGAATTTTATTATTGGAAGATATAACAAATATATTAATTTAAAAAATATTTCTATAAACAAAGATAATCAAAATTTAATTGAAATTTCTGTTGAATTTGATTCAAGGATAAATATATATGGAAATGGATATTATATAACCCCGTTAAATCATTTTTGCAGTATAAATGAAAATACAAAAATATATTTATTGAAAGATTATGCAAATTTAAACGATGAAATAATTAAATTAAAATTTATTGAAAATTTAAATAATAATTACAGAAAGGGAATTTTAATTTGTAGATTTATGAGTAAACAAGGTAACCCAAAAATAACTGCACACTTTTCATTTTATCATAACTTTTATTCCCGTTTCATTTTTAAAATTTTTATACTAATTTTATATCCCATTCAATTCTCTTTTAGAGCTTATAAGTATCATTCTGTTATTTAACTTTCTTTCAAGAGATTTAACGTTCGCAAAATTTCAGCTCTTCTTAACTTTCCAAGAACAATCAAAAAATTCCGGTATGAAATTTTTGGGTAAAATTTCTCTAACAATATTAAGGGAAAAAAGAATGACTGTTGACTTTAAAAAAGAGGGATTAAGTACCCACATGTCACGTGACAATTTTTAAGACGAAAAATTTTTTTCTGAATGAAACATGGCCGAATCGCCAAAATAGCAGATATTGGGCCTCAAAGTCTCCTCTCTCTTCCAACACCCTTCTTTGGTAATGTGTTATTTGCAGAAAGGTCAAAACAGCCTTAATTTTCGTGAATCCTGGGGTCAAATAAATTTTCCGCCCCAGTTCAGAAGACTAGAGAGTAGGAGGGTTGGTGAGCAGCCAATTTACCCAGTTTTAACTCGTCTCTAATAGTCACCGTACTCACCGGATTTGGTTTCTTGAATTAACCCAAAAATTTGGATTCGTTCGGTAATAGAAGAAAACCTCAACCGAGGTTTTGTGAACTTTTGCACAAAATTTTTCCACACGCCTTGAAAAGGGTGATTATTTATTTGTCCCTACTTATTCCCCTATCAATTATTCGTTATTTGATTTCATTATCTTAAATCCGAATAAAGTTATGCCGTAAATACTGTGTGCAGTTACTTTTGGGTTGCCTTGTAGAATATGAAATGGAATATATTACTGAATATGAAAGTTTAAATAGAGATAGTAGCAAAGTTAGAAATAAAGTTTGTTTTTTTATTAATTTAATTTTTAATTTGCATTTTTATAGGAAGTGTTGTCAATTAAACCTTTATTTCGATATCCATTATATTTTGAACCAAAAAAGGAAATCGACAATGGAAATGTCGAAGAAATAAAATTAATTAAATTAAATATTTTTATAAATAGTGAAGGAAAAGATTTAATTGAAATTTGTTTAAAATTTAAAGAAAAGGGGAATTATTTAATTAAATTAGAAGCTTTATATTTTAATAAATATTTTATGTTTTTTGTTAAAATATCAGAAAATAATAATGAAAAATGTTCTTCAAAAATATTTGAGAATTTTACAGAAGAGGAAATTGGGGTATTTAATGGATTTAAAGAGGGAATAAAAATTTTAGTTTTAAAAACTAATGAGAATAATTTAAATGATGGAGAGCTGTTTGTTTTTGGAGAAGAAGAAGAAGAAGATGATGATGAAATGTTTGATGGAAGTAAAATAATTTTAGTATTAAAATTACAACCTTTAATTAACGATGGAAATTATTTATTTGAAATGGACAAAGGGAAAATAAAAGAAAAAATAAAAAAAATAAATCCAAAAAATAATTTAATTAAAAATTTAAAATTAAGAGAAATTAAAAAAGTTTGTAAAAATAAATTTAAAGAAATGGTTTATCAAAAATGGTTTTTATTTAATTATGAAGAATATTATTTAATTAATCATTGTTTAATTGCTGAGAAAATAATTGATGAAGAAGATTAAATGTGCTTTTTTGAGGGGAAAGAATGTTTTTAAAATTTGTTTTAAATTAAAACTTTTACAAATTTTAATTTTTAAGAATTATTCTAAAAACTTTTTTTTATATTAAAAATTATCAAAATTGTAATTTTTCTAATTTTTATTTTTCATAATTTTTTTATCGACTATAAACAAATAAAATGTGAAACAAAAAGAAAACTGCTTGATCTACAAAGATGAAGATTTTAAGTTTTAGAAAATAAATAAATGGATTCCAGGAGTATGTGTCCATTTTTGAAATATAAAAAACAATAAAAATTTAAAATAAAAATATAAGTTTAAAATAAACATTTGCAAATTTGGATATATAAAAGATAAATAAGTTCAGCTATTAAATGGATATTTTTGAGAAAGGAGATGCAAATAAAATAAAAATACTAAATTTATTTAAATAAGAATTGGGTCAATTTTATTTGTGTATTTTAACCTTTCCGGAATTCTGGTAGATATTAATTCAAAATAATTTATTTTATTTGGATATCAGATAACGAAACCATCCATTGGGGTGCCTGATAAACATTTTGTTTTGACATTAAATAATTAATAAGAGTTTTTTTTCGAATTCTTTAAAAGAATAAAAGAATTAATTTGAGGATATACTACATAGGTATATTTGATATAATACACTTGAAAGTACAACTTTTTTAAATAATTTTATTGCTCTTTCAGTTTAATAATTTTACAAATTTACTTTAAAACACTCTTCAGGTTTTCCTTAATTAATAATTTTTTCCTTTTAAACAACTACCCATTCCTTAAATGCTTTGTTTTATTTCAAAAATATTAAATTATTAAAAAAAAGATTTTTTTATTTTGTTAATGATTGGGGGGCACCTGATAAATAAATAAAAATGTGACGGCATGTGATTTAATATTTTTGTCTATTTTAAGAATTAAAATGGAAGGGAGGTTCTAAATTGATTGTAATATATATGAACAATGAAAAAAAAATAAAAAAGAACTTCCCGGAAAGAATTTGGAGAATTAATAAAAATTATGACAATCAATCTCTCCCTTCTTTTTTATTTTTCTTCAATTATTTCCCTTAATTTATTAATTAAATTAATAATTTACAATCACAATTTAATTTTTATATCATTTCCCCCAAATAATTTTAAAGTTTTTTTTCTTTCAACATTTATTAGCTTCTTTTAAGCTCTCTCCCTCCTCTTTTTGCTTCGTTTACTTTGGACTTGAGAGGATAAAAAGGCTGGTTGCTTTACTTATATTGATCTCTGTTAATCCATAAACTTTTGCACACATTTATGTATGTGTGATCTTATTGAAAATATTTTTGATTGAATAACTTTTATAAAAAATATTTTCAATATTTTTTCCCAAAATTAAATTATTTTGTTTTAACAACCATTTGATTATTAAGGTTTTTAAAATCCCTTTAACTAATTATTCTAATTTTATTTTTAACTTATATTCTAATTTAAATTTATTTTTTACAAAAATTTACCCAATAATTTATTGGACGGTCAAAAATAATTTTTAAAAAAATCGTAAAAATTTGTTTAATTAAAAGGGCAATTTAATACTACTTTTATTTTTTCTTTAAAGTTAGCCTCTTTTCAAATAAAAACACATCAAAAACACAAATCCCTCTCTCCTTTACTTTTCCCCAAAAATATATATTTAATTCATCACCTTTCTTTTTTTAAATAATGTTTTTTCCTTCAAAATATTTCTTTACCTTCTCATGATCTAAAAAAAAGTATATTTCCTCATCTTCAATCAACTATATACATCCACCTATTTTTACTTTTTTAACCTCAATCCAAAAAATTTTTTATTATTATTTTTAAACTGCCCTTGTTTTTATTTTGCTCTTTTTCCCAATTAAAAATTTAAAAAAAAATTAATAAAATTTTAATTAATTAAATAAAAATTTTAGTTATTTATTATCTTCTAAATATTTATTTGGATCAATTCCAAATGGTCTATTCCCCAGAACTTGGCTATGATCCAGAGTGTGTTATTTTAATTACTAAATATTTTTTAAAATATTTTTTCTATTGATTTTAAAACATTTATTAAAAATTTTTTGTTTTGTTTGAACACTAATAATTAATTATAGTATGTTTGTGTTCACTTTTGAAATTAATTTAAAGTAACAGTTGGGGGTTAGGTAATTTGTGTTTTCCGGAAAGTATATACTAGAGTGTTTATATAGTTTTTCTGATTTTAAATAAATAAAAATTCTGATTTTTAATTTCCGATTTTTTGAAAAATTCTGATTTAATTTTTTAGTGAATGGGAAGAGTGCAGTGACGACAAGGCTTTGCCTGTCGTCGTAT